CTATGGGACATGACTGAGGTGAAGTGGATACGTGTCCTGTGGTCTGATGAGTCTTTTTGGAAATCATGGATGCCATGTCCACCGGTCTGAAGAGGAGAGGGACCATCTGGCTTGCTATTAGTGTACAGCTCAAAGCCAGCACACGTGATGGTAAGGGGTGCATTAGTGCACATAGAATGGGTAACTTGCACATCTGTGAAGGCACCATTAATGCTGAACGATATATACAAGTTTTGGAGAAACATATGCTGCCATCCAGATGACGTCTTTTTCAGGAAAAGCCTTGCATATTTCAACAAGACAATGCCAAACCACATTCTGCATGTATTACAACAGCATAGCTCCATATTAAAAGAGTCTGGGTGCTAAACTGACCTGCCCGCAGTCCAGACATTATGAAGTGAAAAATACGACAAAGGAGACCCTGAACTGTTGAGCAGCTGAAATCCTATATCAAATAAGAATGTAAAAACATTCACTTTCAAAAGTACAGCAATTGGTCTCCTCAGTTCCCAAATGCTTACAGAGTATTGTCAAAAGAAGAGATGATGCAACACAGTGGTAAACATGCCCTGGCATGAACTTAAAAATGAGCACACAGTTTTCACAAAAACAACAACATTTCTCTCTTTAAACATTTGATATGTTCGTACTATTTATAATCAAATAAAGTGTTTAAATGATTTGCACATCATTGCATTCCATTTTATTTGCATGTTAAACAGCATCCCAGTTTTTGGAAACAGGGTTGTACATAAAATCAAACATGCATTAGGAGTGGACCTCAGGGGGAAAAAAAAAGATATGAGAAAAATGTAGGATATGGGCCGTTTAAGTGATAAATTCTTTTTATAGGTTTACAGCTCATCTATTTCTGGAAAAATGTAAGTTAATTGAAAATTCTTATAATTGCCTGATAAAACAAAAACTTGTTTGAGGGTTTTCTTTTGCATTTTAACACAAAAGGAAGAATTTAACATTTAAATCTAATTCATTTTTGACAGGCAAGAGTCTCGGTAGGTGAGGCTTATAGAAAAAAAAAGGTTTTTAAAAGATGGAGTTTTGCCCTGTACTAGTCTCAGGATCTCACAGGTCACTGAAGTCGTGCTCTTCTCCATGACCTCACCCTCTTTCCCCATGTCTTCTCTTCCTGTCTGAAGCAGCATGGGATTTATTGAGATTATGTGCTTATCCTAATTCGTAAAAATGATGCAGGGGTGCACAGCTGTTAGCTTGTGATATAGGTTTAGCCAGCTACCACAGAAGTAACTCATGAAAACATGGGACATTGCCATGATTAGCTTGACCACTGCTGCAATTGAGATTTTTAAATGTAAAAACAGAAAACAGGGAGGAGATGCTTAACTTCACTTAACTGGCATTGACCTCCTTATTAAACTCCTTATAGCCTAACGACCCACATTTCTGTGCACTTACTATCATTACTACACAGCGTCTGGGTTATGATCTGATGTTTGTGCATCAGTTGTGGTAAAATTAACAGCTTATATAATAGAAAAAAACTATTTGAACTATTTGTTTTTGAAATATGAGTTTGAAATAATAGGTGTACATTTTAACATACTGTTCAATTCCCAGTCACACAGTTGTCTACTACAGGAAACAAACTTAAAGAGGTAATATAAAAATGCCATTTTAGTGCACAATATCTCTTTATTTGCGGTTTAAATATTGGAATAAAAAGCATAACATGTGAAATGTGCCAGAACAGACCATATTTTGTGTTTTTTTGTTTTCGGTTTGTTAAGGCCAGCAAATAAATAGTAACTGTGCAGTGTAATGTTCAGAAGTGTGTTCTCTATAGAGGATGTGTTAACTTATTATTACTTATGATATCACAAAAACCAGGGCATCTATATTGTTGCTGTCGAAACAAAATCTTATCTCCAAAAAAGTAACTTTACAGAAGAAGGAAAAAAATCCTCCTCATTTTCAATGTAATATTATACATCGTTTTCTGTGTAATATTCCAAAATATCTAAAAAATGTATATATGTATATATATATGTATGTACATTCATATATATGTATACATATATATGTATAACTAATTGCTCCTAAAGAACATAATGTCAACCCAAAGCCCAATAGATCACTGATTAGACATTTTTTCAACCAGAAAAGAGATTTTTTTCTTTAGGATCAACTGGTCTTGCTGTCCTGTGACAGAGATTTGGTTAATCCCAGATTATACCCAAAGTGGTTTATTTACATGTGTTTTCACATTGTTTTATTCCATTCATAAATCGCTCAGCTTTTCCTTCTTCTATTCCATTATCCCATGCTAAGACGGTCACCAATCAAGTCTGCCACTAAAAATGGTGTAACCTGTTTGTGTGTATATGAGCGTGGTAGTGTAAGCATGCTTAAAGTTCACTATGTATCTGTGTAGTGTGAGTTAAGTGTGTTTATGTGAGTGTGTGTGTAAACAAAGGCACCCCAGGGATGGATTGTATGGAGTTCATATTAAAACCTCACTTATTTTTACTACTTTATTTTATGCCTTTTTAAGAATTCAGGGTTCTTCATGTCCTAGAAAAAAACACTGGGCATTTATAGATTAGACCTGGAAAATAAGAAATTGATGAAATGTCTGGGAAAATGTAAAGCTGGGCCATTAATTGACTTACATTGCATAATTTATCATATTCATAGCCTCAAACCCAGTATGTGTGTCCATTCATACCTATTGTAGTTTGTGATGCTACAGTGTCGAATGTGAGCAGATATGCAGATGCTGTTAATATGCTTATGGCTGACTTGTGATTTTATGACTGCATGTTTTACAGATTTTGTGTTAACGCTTACAACATTATCATCCTGAAAGCATCCTAAAACAGATTTAACATCATACCTTGCATTATTTTTATACTCCTGGAATGACTGGACAGCACAACGCTGAAGGCTTACTGCTTTGTCATTGAATTACAACCCCAGTATTGCATTAGTTTTACTACACTGTACTTAACATCACTGAAATTTTCCTCTGTTCCTTGGGACGTTCTGCTTAGGCTTGACAATAGCCACTAAGGCTAATTAGTTACAAGCACTTATCTGCTACCAGAAAAGATGAACTTGGGTGCTTTTGTGCATTATTCATGCTTATATATGTATATATACATATATAAGCACTATGTATATCCTAAAATGAGTGGTAACCCTGATTGTATTATTATTATTATATACTTTAGCCCCAGATCCACACTTTTGATCATAAATTATGTGAATCTCTGTAACATCCATTCACTCTTTGTCCTGGTCTTTCTCTGTTTTTGCCTTTTTCTTGGTTTCCCAGTGCAGTGCTTTTGTATATCTGCCATGTGCCTTTGTTTTCTTGTGACATGTGCTTTTGTTATCATGTTGGCTCCTCCCCTGTCCTGCCCTGACTTCACCTGTTTTGTAACCTAGCCCCGCCCTCTCATTGGTCTCAGGTGATGCTCGTTTTCTGTTAGTATTTATACCCCTGTGTTTGCTCAGTTCCTTTGTCTTGCGTTGTCTATACACTTTGATGTTGCCTGTGTCCTGGATTGTAGGTTTTGTTTCTGGTTTAGTTCTGTTTTACTTTGTTTAGTCTTGTCATGGATTTATCTGTTCCACTAACCTCTGCCTCTGCGTTTTTGGACTCTGGATCTCGTTTAAATAAAAGCCACTCGCACTTGCATCCTGCCTCAATGCCTCCTATGTTGCAATCTGTCATTTTCTTTTTATCTGGTCCTTATCTGGACCAAAGAAATGGTGAAATGAATGTTAATCATTTCAGTATTCAGTGTGTAAGATTCTTGCATTTTTACACAGTTTTTACACAGGATGCAGCTGTCATTTTCATCACAACCTACAATTTTCCCATTAAATTAAGTTCCTTCAAAAGTTAGTTCACTTAGTTATCAATGAAACAACAGTCTCTGGGAAGAGCGGGCCATTTGTCTACACACGTGATGAGCACAAAATGAAGAAAAAGCACAGCAAATACCAGTTGAGCATAGTTTATTGTGTGTCATTTCTAATTACACTGTAATGAAGGAGCTAAAAACTGTTAAAACATCTTTGTCTCCATACAATGAATGGTGGAGGAAATGAAAGAATGAAGTCAAGTTGACTGAGAATTATTTCATACTTTATTTTAAGACATGTATTAAACCCAAACTTATATATAATTTTATAATTTGTTATCTTGCTTAGAAAAGAACACATTCAAAGTTTGTTCATTGCCATTTCAACCCCACACAGTCATTTTCACACTTTTTTTTTTTTAGAAAAATACAAAAATAACTAACAATTTATAAACATTTAAACACTTTCAAATGTGGGGACCATATGATTGTTGTCATGGTAACACAGTTTATTTGTTTAAATAGACACAAGTCAAATTGATTAATACTGAGACTGTGAAAGTTGTTTTTTTCCCTCAGTATTCAAAAGGCCAGTGGTGCCTGGAGTTAAAGAATCATCCAACCACATCATTCAGAAATTCTACAAGCTGTGTAACATGCGAATAAACTGTATGCATCTTTAATGCACTAAACACACACGTCACACACGGCCTCTGGTGAGAAATGAAAAACTTTATCTGAGACGTTATCGTTTCCAGAAGGGCTTTAACCTTTTCAAGTTTAAATTGAAACATAAACGGCATGATTTGCTTCTGTACAAGATCCATGCAGACCATACTAACAGAATGTACTCATAATGTTACATAAGATAATGTGACATCATTAAGATGTACAGCAGAGGATGAAGTGGAGCAGGATTCGAGTTTACGCAGAAACTAAACACACAGAGTGGCATTGAAGACATGAGCAATCCACCGACCAGTATAAAATTATAAAAGCATGTTTTTCTAACCTCCGACGGAAGTTCCAGTCCAAATGGTTTGTAATAAACAGAAAATATAAGCAGTGCTGTTGAGTTTATATTGTTTTTCTTTGCCTTTGTCTTCCTGTCGTGCTCATACAAACCTTTTCAAAGCCCTTTCTTCTTGATCAATCCCGTGACATCATTTTGACAAATTCTGAAAGGAGATAGAGAACTGTAAACAAAGACAATAGACTAGCTCTTCAAAGAAAGAAGTAGAGTAAGTAAGTAAATACATAGATAGATAGATAGATAGATACATACATACATACATACATAGCATATACATAGCATATATATATATATATATATATATATATATTGTATATAAAAATATATATAAAACATGGTTCTTCTGTTGTTTCAAGCTTGACATCATAACATTAACAAAACACTTTTTGATAGTATATAGAACCATTGTCATAAAGGTTCTTTATGGAACAATATATAACACATTCTCTATCAATCTGAAGAACCATTTCATTAAATGGTTTTATATAGAACTGATGGTTCTAAATAGAACTGTTGCCTTTACTAAAGAACCCTTAAAGAACCTTTGTGTGTACTTATTACTCATTGACTATTTTTTAAACTCCTATGTCGTTTCATTATGTAGCTAAAAACTGTTCTCAACTAACTATTTTAAATACCGAAAAAAGGGTGGAAAATTTAACCATGTTTATAAAAAATTTGGGATACAAGATGTAAATGAAAAACATAAATGAAAACAAAATGCAATGATGTGCAAATCATTTAAACCCTATATTTCATTGAAAATAGTACAAAGACAACATATCAAATGTTGAAACTAAGAACTTTGATTGTTTTTTGAAAAATATGTGTCCATTTTGAATTTGATGCCAGCAACATTTTTGAAAAAAGTTGGGAGAGAGGCATATTTACCACTGTGTTGCATCACCTCTTCATTTAACATCACTCTGTAAGCATTTGGGAACTGAGGAGACCAATTGCTGTTGTTTTGAAAGTGAAATGTTTTCCCGTTCTTGCTTGATATAGGATTTCAGCTGCTCAACAGTTCGGGCTCTCCTTTGTCGTATTTTTCGTTTCATAATGCTTTCAATGGGTGACAGGTCTGGACTGCAGGCAGGCCAGTTTAGCACCAGGACTCTTTTACTACAGAGCCATGCTGTTGTAACACATACAGAATGTGGTTTGGCATTGTCTTGCTGAAATTAGTAAGAACTTACCTAAAAAAGACAGCATCTGGATGGCAGCATATGTTGCTCCAAAACCTGCATATGTTATTCAGTATTAATGGTGCCTTCACAGATGTGCACATTATCTATGCCATGTGCACTAATGCATACCCATACCATCACAGATGCTGGCTTTTGAATTGCGTGCTGATAACAAGCCAGATGGTCCCTCTCCTCTTTAGCCCAGAGAACTATCCATGATTTCCAAAAATAAAAAAAATTCCACAAATTGGAAAAAAACAAAATTTTGATTCGTCCGACCACAGGACACTTTTCCCTGTTGCCTCAGACCATCTTAAATGAGCTTGGGCCCAGAGAAGCTGGCAGTGTTTCTGGATCCTGTTCATGTATAGTTTCTTCAATGTATGGTAGAATTTTAACTTGCATTTATGGATGGTGTGGCAAACTGTGCTCACAGACAGTGGTTATCGGAAGCATTCCTGTGGCCATGCAGTGATTTCCACTACAGAGTTGTGTCTGTTTTTAATGTAGTGCCATCTGAGAGCATGAAGACCATGACCAGCCATTATTGGTTTCCATACTTGTTGCCCCTGTCTTTTTTGAAATGTTAGTGTGTTAGTCTGGACTTCCACTTTTAAGTGAGTAAGATTTTAACACAGTACTCATAATCTCATTTATGTATTCAGTGATCATATGAACAAAGAAGTTATCAAAACTCATACAACCAAAACAAATCCGGACAACAGCCACAAACAGAAAGGAGCGTCAGTGGTAGTAACACATTGGGAGAATTTAAGTCCTGTCTCAAACTTGGGCCACTCATATATGGTTCTCACACTCGCATAAAACAGCCACTCTACACCAGCCTCTTAGTGTCAGCCATGATGCGTAACTGTAAAGCCTTCACCCAACTCTTTTATTGACAAACATTGTCACTAAGTGTACACTTTGAAAATATGTGTGTACATTTGTGTCTGTATGTGTTTGGCAAGAGTTCATGGCGTGCATTGTAATGTGAATGATGTCTGTTATTCAAATATGCCCAAATGTGCAAAGGTTGGTGGGAAACATTGCAAATATACTTAATATTTTACCCAAATATTTTCTTTTGGTTCCTGAGGTTAAGGTTAGGTTTGAGTTGCATATAGCAATGCAGAAGGAAATGAAAACACTCCATGAAGATAGAAAAACAAACAGTTTGTGTATGAAACTCACCCTCAAAGTCCACTGTTCCATCTCCGTTGTTGTCCGCCTCTCTCACCACATCCTCTATCTCTTTCCTGTTGGTAGTCTCCCCAAGCAGCTTCTGCATGGCATGCCTCAGCTCATCAATAGTAATGGCACCATCACCATCTATATCAAACTACACATAAACACAGAGAGGAAGTCAACATTGGCAAATACATTCAAATGGGAGGGTCTTCTCTATTAGCAGTCTTAACACACCATATAGACCATGAAGATGTAATGTAGGTCAATGGAACCAGACTTTTTACTTTTTAGTCATTTTGGGATGTTTCTTCTGGTCCATTCATCATTCAAATTATGTCAAAAACTGAAAAACGACAAAAATGGAGATACAAGGTTTTCTTTGGACAATAGTGATATACCTGTTTATTATAACATTACGAAATGAACCAGTTAACTGAAACATGAAACAGCATCATAGATGGAACACCAAAACATGTCAAATACATTCAAACATATTGTAAGGCATACAGTAGATTACTGCAGTGTTTCAGCTGTAAATTTGCAGCAGTCCTTCAGTTTATGTCACTATGACGACAGGACAGTTCCAGAAAGACTGAATGACCTCACCTCTTTGAACGCTTCCTTTAGCTCCTTCAGGCCAATCATTCCAGCCGTCTCCGCCAACAACTTAGGAGCCATGAGGTCCACAAAGTCCTCAAAGTCTACTCGCCCTCCAACTTAGCACCGGAAACAGAGAGAGAATTTACATGGACTACATATTTAAAAGTGCCATATATACAGTGGCCCCAAAAAGTATTTGGACATTGGTGCCACACTTAAAAACTTATTAAGTTATTTGTATTAGAAAGCCAAATGGCAAACCAAGTGGCATTTAATTTAAACAGATCAGATTATAATTTTCTTTTTGGCAAAGTATTCTTTCAAAATGCATCTACTGTGTTTCAGAATACTGTTTTTAGCCATTTCTTTGCAGACCTCTGCAGGTTTGCATCCAAAATGTCTTTGTACACTTCTGAATTCATGATTCCATCAAAGAACACAAGCTCACTGACAGCACAAAGTGAAAAAAATTAACAGTGAGTAATATACACGACTACATGTTCAGTCTTAGGTTTCTTACGGTTCATGTTGATGTTCTGGCCAAGTTCTATCAGTTCCATCTCAGTAGGCATGTATCCCATAGTCCTCATCAGATTACCCAGATCTTTACAGCTGATGAATCCATCTTTATCTTTATCGAACTCACAAAAGGCCTCTCGCAACTCTGAAACACACAGTTACAAACATTGTCCATTAAATGTGTGGGGACAACTTGTCTTCATTAAAATTTTCTGAGCAAGGTTTGATTGCACTGTTAATTAAAACACACCAGATTTATATTGTAACAGAGTGGGTTTTGCCCAAATAATGATTTGCTTCAGTGGAAAACAGTGAAGCAATTGTTTTGTTACTATACTTATGTATCAATTTGGAACATGAGTACTTTACTAGACTGACATTGAAATTGAATACTTGTACTGTTACTCAATTCTAAGTCATCAAATAAATTTTCCAAAAGAAAAAACATACTTTCACTCCTTATACTTTCTCATAACAAATCCTAAAGTCTTTCTCTTTTATCCAATGTATTTTTTTCTCTTAGACTCAGATCACTGTAAAATGAAACTGTCCACAACAGTGCTACTTCATTTCAGTCTGAGGACTGGTTGTTGTGAAGGTTAAGACAAGGAAAATTCTGTTATTCGCAGCATGTGGTCAGCTCTTACCCATCTTTAAAATTACTTTAGAGGGTCCAAATCCTACATCTTTCTTGTATTTTTTTCCCCTTGAGGTCCACTTGTATAGTTTGTGTATGAAAAAAACTGTCATAATTAATTTTTACATGACAATTTTCCAGTCTCACTGTATCACTTAGAATTAAACAGACATTTCTGTTACTGAACTACAGAGCTAAACTTCTTTAGGCTGAAAACTGTCGAAATATGTAAATGAGTTGGTTTCAAGACATCACAGAAAAAATGCATTCAAAGCAGGCTATTTCTGCAGCATATATTTCCATGTATGTACTGTATGGACTGGGTAGTGAATGGTACGATTTAAAACCTTAACAATATTTACAAATTACAAGGCTAATAATTACTAGTTGCGAAGAAAAAATGTTAAGACCTAAACAGTTTTCTGTTGAATATGGTTTTTGAAATTGACAAAGAAAACATGCTTATTTATTAACATTTTGACTGGTAGTGCATGTGCATTTATATACACTTTGACCGCTTAAAAGGCCAGGGCCCACCAGCAGGCCCAAAGTTTTATTACATGCTTCTATAAGAATAGCTCAGCCAGTTTGCATTGTGGTCCCTGTAGTTACTGAATAATAAACCCAAGTATGTATAAAGCCTGGATTTTAAGGGGTTAAATAGAGTGTGCCGGACCACTAGACTGGACAGATAAGAGTGCTAGGGAGTGTGTTATTTCCATCTACAGACTAGGCTAATTATAAGGAAGGAAAACAGACAAATGAAAATGGGGAAGATGGAGGTGATAGTGAATGAGTATGTTACCTTCTATCTCATCAGCTACCAGTTTCCGCTCCTGCAAAACAATTCCCAGCAAGAATTCAGTTTTTTGTGTTGCTGTTACATATAAAACAAAGCACTAGTGTAAAACCTCACACACAGTCAACAAACACAAATGACACAGGTTTGTCCACACCCTCAAAGTCAATTAGAGTTTATATGGATTAGTGCAAAAAATGTGGATTAATTTCTAAATGATTCTCTGACTCTGTGTCATATGTGTTGAGGACATTTGCGTTTACTGTTTTTTTTTCCCATTTGCCCTTTCAGTCCATTCACTCGCACAGTTGACCGAGATTATTCATGATTACAGTAAAGGATAGTAGGGCAGAAATGTTTACAGGCTCCAGATGGATATTAAAGGAATACTCCATCTTTTTTTTGACATAATCTCTTCTCTGCTGTATCTGTACCATACAGCTGATTACCACAGACAATCATTTCAACACCTTTCCCTGTATTTAGAAAAGAACAGAAAACTTATTGACTTAAAACATGTTCACAATTGAAGCCAATGGGCCGCTGCCTCAAATGTGGCAGATAGATCTTGCTGGAGTATTCTTTAAGAGAAGCAAAACAAATCAGCAGAATAGCCGCTACAAGTCCAGCATAGCAGCACTGTGCTACTAACTTAATGTAATAATCAGTTTACGAGGTAACAATAGACAGTGATATGCTCCCAGATAAACAGACAGACACTCAAGCATACATTTGGACACATATATAACCGTAAAAGAGTAAATAGTACGTAATCATGATTTTGGTTTGAGACAAAGTGCTGTGAAAAAGTGTTTGTCCAGCCAAGACATTTTGTTTCAAATGATTTATCCAGGCATAATGTTTGTTTTTGCTTGTAAAATCACTAAATAACATTAGAACAAAAACAATTAAACTGTAATATAGTAAAAAAGTAACTAGAAGTTCACGCTTGCAGAAAAGTTATTGATATCTTGTGAGATGTTTAGAAGAACACAGGTTTGGTTCCATTTCTTCTCACATGGATTGCACAGATTTGTTCAATTACGCCACCAACACACCTGTAGTAATTCATTTAACAATGAAATGCAACTTACTGAAGTATTGATTAACTGAGTGAGATTTTATAACTACTAACTGGGCTTCCTCAAGAAGATGATTGTAGATGGTTAAAACACTAACAGACATCAAATCACAGTGTGTTGTATTAATGTTTATTTGTATTTATTCTAATGTTTGGGTTTTTAAGAGCCAATAAGCTTTTAAAGGGGAACTCCAATTTTTGATTTGATGCAAAATGCTCCATTTTAGAGAAACTTCTAATGGTTCACAGTGGTGGTGAGAGGAACTAGATGTCTACAGAGTTTTATGCCTCTAAAACTCCCTCACAGACATTATTAGTTACAAATATACTGCCTGATGTCTTGGCATTGTTTTAAAATAGTTCTGAGAGAAGCTTTTGGCCTAGAATGTTTTTTTTATAGTCCATTCATGGCACAGAGGTACATGCAGGAGATTCTAAGGCAAAAGTGTCTTTTCAGATTTACCACTATTTTACATATAAAATTCAGAACACATATGTGGGTTGATGGTCATTTTGGATAGTAATAGAATGGCTACATTCGTGTTGTAAAAATCTATAAAGAAATCTGTGTCAGTACATTTCCCTACAGCGCACATCAAACCACTTTGATTTACTTTGTTTACATCTCAACCATTGAATTATGTAAAATTCCACTGAAAAAAAGTCAGTGGAATTCCCCTTTTATTATAAATAGAATATGAACACACATAAACTGCTTTCAATATATTTATAAGCCTAAGACTTTTGGTTGTTTCAAACACACACATACACACACACACACACAAGTTTGAAACAGCAATGAAACATTAAAGTTAAAACTACTGCTCAGGTTAGAGACAGAGGTAGGTTTTTAAAGCAGACTTACAACGTGTTTGCCTCGGAGGAAAATGCAGGCTGGGCCAAGACGCAGATCCATCTCTTCCCGTCGCTGTGACAATGAATGTGTGAACATGTGTGGCATTGATCGTGTTTGGCTGCTCCTGGAGTCTTTAGTGAGACTGACAGGAACTGACTGTAGTCTCCTGTAAACTGAACAACAATAAATAACTCAATACAACAGATAAAACTAATCCGCTATCTTGGCTTAAAGAATTCTCTGTGTTTTTTGAGTGTGTTGTTGTTGTCCCAGGTCACGATTAACAAGGGCTGACATCGTGATTTTGGTCACGTTTTTGTTGCAAAAAATTAATCTCTCTGTGTTAGTATGAGTAAAGCCATTTCCATGTTCACAATATTAAGTGAAAAAAAAACACATTTAAAAATAAAGGTGCCAGAAAGTGTTCTTTGCATGATAAAAAAAACATTTTTGGTTCCCTAGAAAACCTTTCTGTGGATGGTTCTTTAGAGAACCATTTTTTTTCAATGTGTGAGTGTAAAGAACCTTTTTTGAATTTTATATAAAGGTTTTAGGAAGAACCCTTAAATTTGCAAAGAACGTTTACATTAGGTGAAGATTCTACACTCATATTTGTTCTTTAGGGAACAAAAATGGTTCTACTGCAGCATTGGTGGAAGACAAGTATGTACATCATGATTTGTGTCATGTCCAAAAATCATAGTTTAAAAATGAATTCACATCTAAAATTACACATTATTAGACATCATGAAATTTCTAAAAAATTCAGTCAGATTTAAATCCACAATGAGTTACTTAAAGCGTTCATACTTGTTTCTAACAACGTATGTATAAACATTGAGCTGCATATCAAAGAGGGTGTTACAGTTTCTTTAATAAGCAAAATTCTCTCACCTCCTTCTCCACCTCCTCCTCCTTCTCTGTGTAAGGGCTACGTGAATGCGTGTGTCCCGTTGCTGCGCCTTACTGCTCTGCACACACCAACCAAGAGCTAAAGTTCAAATGTTCTCCTCTGTCAGTCAGCTACAACTGACTGATCAACTAAGAGAGAGAGAGACAGAGAGACAGAGAGAGAGAGAGAGAGAGAGAGAGAGAGAGAGAGAGAGAGAGAGAGGGTTCAGACGGGACTTAAGATGAGACAGATGGGGCTGGATTCTGTGACAGTGGTGGGCATTGATTGACATACATCAGGATTGCTATTTCCACTGCTAAACGCACAGTCAAACCATATCTGATATTGTCCTTCTCTTGTTTTTATGACCTTCCCCCCAACATCTCCACCACTTCATATAAGAACACGGTCCTGCTCGTAGTTTTATAGATTTTGTGAAATTAATATGTCTGTTTTGCTGTCTATCTCTCTCTCTCTCTCTCTCTCTGTATATCTGAAAATTTATCTGTCTACATACATATACGAATACAGTATTCATTCATATTTATACAAACACAAACACACACACACACACACACACACACATATATATATATATATATACTCCTTGCATAGATTTGTGAAATTCCATCGCACCTGATTTAAATTCATGTAGAAAAGCTAAGCTAGATACTGATTCCTGATATTGTGGAGCAGATAAACTGATACTGACTAATTATATAGCTTTTTAACACACAGGTAAATATGGATGGAGATATAGAAATGTATATTGAGTATGTGTTACGTAACTCTCTCTGAAACCCACCATCCTCTTGGGTCTCCAGTCTTTGCGTAAGAGATCCCAGTAATCCCACAGCTCTTAATTCCCAACAAATGCAAGAGCAGATGCACATTCACCATCATTATGGTCTGATCACATTACTGCCCAGAAGACCACGAGAGACAGACAGAGAGAAAAAGAGCAGAGAAGGGCAGGACAATTGGCCTACCCGAGCTCCTCCCACAAATATGTTCTTTCACACTGTTGCAAAGCTTTATTGAGCAAGCTTTACAGTCGGGGTGGGTATATGATGATATGTCTTCATTATCATTATACATATTGTGTGTTGTGAAAATGTCTTCGGGTATTGTGATGTTGCCACACTGCACACTCATACTTCCCAGAATGTTGCCAAAAGCCCTGTTCAAAATCATTAATTTTGTTTAAAGTTTAAAGGCCATGCTGGACTATGTTATAAGTATTTCAAACTAACCACGATGAAAATGACAACAAATTTGCCACCATGCTAACATGAGCTTATGTCGAATGAGCCTAGCAACTGCTACAAAATTACACATTCGTGGGTGGAGCTCGGATGGGTAAATGCTTTGTTTCTCCTGATTCTTGTTGAGAGAGAGATACAATTTGAGGATCTAATAGTTTGAACAATTTACACACTTTAAGTTTCACTTTACTAAGTGAAAATAAATTAACACATTCTCTACAAGGAACTTACATTGGGCATTTTCCACAAATGTTAGTGCACAGTTTCTTATTATTTGCTGAGTTTTACACGTTGGGGAAAAAAACACAAAATGTAAAATGTGCCATAACTTTTGCACAGGTCACGTTTTATTTTTTATTTTTTTCTCAAATAAACAGTAACTGCGCATTAAAAAGTGGAAAAGCATGCTCACTGTAGAGGATGTGTTAACTCATGTGTTTCACTTAAAAAATCAACCAAACATAACATTAGTCTAGGGGTGCCTAAACTTTTGCACAAGACTGTAGCTAAGGAAAACATACAAGAGGCTTTATAAAAAGGAAGCAGTGTGTTGAGTGCGCTCGGGCGTAGTTGAGTTAGATCACCTCTCATCATCTCAGAATATGAGAGAAGCTGAATAAAATGTCCACTTGCATCAACACAGTTAACGTAATAGTATAACAACCATCCAAGTGGAAACAGTGGTGCACTGGTAAATATTATACAGAGCTGTGTCAAGTGTAGCCCATTCTGGGACATTTTGGAAAATAATACCTTTATTAGAATGTTAGGTAACATTATTTGGGGACACTTTATTTGGATAGGGGCCTGTGTATGTTCTGTCAATGTTTACCTTACCTTACTTGTATTTAACTAATTATTAAATTGACTTTAAATGGGAAATTACTGCATAATCAGTGGTTCAGATGTTAACAAAGTTATTCAGAATGGTTTTATGTGGAGTGGATCATTGTAGAGAAACAGACCCTTTACTGTGGTGGCGATAGAAACCAGAGGTTGTGATGTCTACAGTGCAAATATATCTATTTCATTTATTATACAAAACAACCAGTGAACTTACATGTGTTGTCTGAGTTGTTATATGTGATGTTGACAATGGTAAAATATGGGTAAATTGGAAAAAAAAGTTTCTGTTTGGGTACTATATTTACTATATTTGGGTTCATATCACCTGAGAAAAATTCTGATTCTGAGTTTTCCTAGAACAAAGCATTTCACATCAAACCTCTCTGACTGTCTGTTTATATCTTAACCGTTAACTTATGCAGAGATTTGAAAAATCGTGTGATTTCCTTTTAACTCCTAACCTTAACTTTTACAAAATCCTCACACACTCTGGTGTTAATTCAATCTAAGCCAAGCTGCAGTCCACCTACACTAGAGTTCTGTTTGTAGACTTCAGCTCGGCTTTTGTCATCATTGGGCCAGAGCTGCTGCTGGTCAGGCTGTCCCAGCTGTGTGTGCCAGAACCCTTCTGCAGGTGGATTGTGGATTTCCTGACAAACAGGAGACAGCAGGTGCGGCTTGGAGAACACACAATAGACACCTGGAACCTCAGTACTGGAGTTGTACAAGTTTGCGTACTCTTACTCCTTCCCTTCAGTCTCTACACCAACAACTGCAACAGTGATGATTCTACCGGGAGAAAGGAAGTCGAGCAGCTGGTGTTCTGGTGCAGCAGCGACCACCTGCTCTTTAACATCCAAAAGACTGTAAAGATGGTGGTGGACTTCAGGCACAAAACACCCACCCCCCACCCCCCTCCTCTGTGGTTTCCACTGTGGTGTCACTTAAGTTCCTGGGCACCACCATATCTAGGGACCTGAAGTGGGAGAGAAATACAGTCTCTAGCCAAGAATGTACTTCCTGAAACAGATGAAGAACTTCCGCAGAGCCTGATGATCCAGTTCATGATCCAGCAGGGTGATGCAGTGTGCTGGCAAAATTACAGCTGACCCATCTCATCCTGGACGTCACCTCTTCCAGACACTTCCGTCTGGTAGAAGATTCAGGGCCATCAAAACCAGCACAGCCAGACACGCTAACAGCTTTTTCCCTAGTGGGAAATATATACATATAAGGTTTTAACTTTCAAAAGTTAGTGACCAGGCAGTCTTAAAATTTTGACTTATTTGAACTTTAAGTAATAAGTTGATACAGATTCCTGTTCCATTAACTTAATATTTGAATGTATAATTGTTGTATGACAAAATCCTTGTATGTGTAACACACTTGACAAAATAAAGCGAATCTGATTCTTATTCTGATTCTAATGCTGGCTCTAGATTGAGTGGGACCTAATCCATTTATAACAATGTTAGTTGTCAAATTTCAAGCCCAGTTTGGAACATTTTGGTTAATAATACTTTTAATGTAATGTTGGGAAATAATAATTTTACTACAAAATTAAGCAGAGCTGTGTCTAGCGCCAAATCCATTTTAGGACATTTTGGATAAAAGTATTTTTACTATAACGTTGGATAATATATTCATCATTATGGTAACCAGAGCTGTGTAAAGCATCAAGACTCTAGTAAAACAGATGTTCCCTTTTATAAAACAGGCCAGATAAATGAAAAGTATCAATGTATTTGTTGGTTGTAATATAATAGGCTTTCATCTGTGCTGGCACTCAAAGCATATCAGTCTGAGTGGCTGAGTGACCACATGCCTGAGAGGTAAATAGGACAGAAAAGCGACAGAGAATGCAGCACTGCTGTCACTGAGGTAGTTTTTATGAGAGAATGTTCCCAAATCTCTGTGTGACTGTGCATACGTGTGTGTGTGTGTGTGTGTGTGTGTGTGTGAGAGAGAGAGAGAGAGAGAGAGAGAAAGAGAGAGAGAGAGAGAGTTACTCTACAGACACAGAAGCACGTGGCAGATTACCTGGACTAGATTACAGTATCACAGAAGAGGGATTGACCGATTTATGCATGCTTTGATAATCTGCTCAAACCCACCTCCAGGGGTCGAGACAGCGGATGTTTTGGGCTCTTTGAGCTCCGTTTACTCTCAGAGCGCACGGTCAGAGAGGGACAAATAGCTCATTGTTTTTACTGTGTCTTGGATTTTCCTTTATGGGTCTCCCTTTTTTGTTTCTCACTCATTTTAATCTTACTGGCTTTTTGTACAGTTCTCATTCCAGCCCCTCCACTGCTTCAAATGCTAAATGCTATTGACATATAGTTTTGAAACACATAGTTTTGAACATCTTTCAAAAATCAGTGTATCAAAGTTAAATGTAGCACAAGTCACTCACAAGTTAACAATTAATATTTCATTGTTAAGGGTTAATCTTTGGGACAGCCACCTCCCAGGTGAAAGTACTTAACATATAATAATAATAATATAACATAATCCTTGTAAATGTCTAAGGTCTAAACTCACAAGGCTTGCTCACTGGGGGCGTGGACCCAGATTCTCTGTAAAGCTGCTTTGTGACAACATCTGTTGTAAAAGGCACTATATAAATAAATTTGACTTGACTTAAACACAAATATTTTTTTTTTACTATGGGAATGTGGTTTGAACTAGAGTGTCTGTATATTCTGTACTGTATATATATATATATATATATATATAAAACAAAGAAAAATAGAGATACAAGGTTTTGTTCAGACAGTGACAAGAGAAAGAGAGAGAGAGACAATCTATACAATATAAATTTTTGAGTAATTGTATTTAACTTAAGCCCTTGGATCAAGACGTTTGATAGGCTGTAAAATGATTTCAAATCATATCTATATTATTATGCATGTATATGCATACATAACATTTTAATCTGAACTGACCCCAGTTCATGATATAAAATTAGTCTGGCCTCTCTTACTCTCCAATCTGCCTGATCTGCACATGACGATGGCGTATTACAGCTGGCAACAGTGTGACCTCTTACTTTCTGACCTTGTCTGAGTCCTGACTAAATGTTACCCAGGCCACCATATACAATGCATATTTAGCAGTTGTTTTTTATTTACCTATCAGTAGTATCCAAATTAAAGGAATAGGTCAAGAACAAGTTTCCCCCTCACACCAAATGTAGTCCATTAAGAAAGACATAAGTTTGGTGTCTTAGGTTCACTTCTGTAGTTTTGTACTGGAACTATGAGGCTAATGTAGCTAACCACATGCCTCAGTCATTACACATGCCTAAAGGCAGCCATCATGCCCCCCCCTCTGATGATACATCATAGAACTTTAAAAATACAACAACAGCCCACCCCAAAAAATCGACTCCGAAACAGCTGTAGTTTTTCAAACGTTCCTCCCACCTTCAAGATACATCAGATGGGGGTTTTCTTAGTCTTGTTCAAGTAACCCTTTGAGTAATCTCAAATAGAATTGCTCATGTGGTTTGTGGCATCTATAAATATAGACAAAAGTACACTACGTGTCCAAAAGTGTCGAGACACCCCTCCAGACAAGACGTGAATTCAGTTACTTTGAGGTGCTTGCTAACACAGGCGTTGAACACAAGCATTGTACATAGCTTGTATAATCTCCATAGAAAGGCACTAGTAATAAAATGGGACTCTTTGGATGTCATCTACAGTCACCATGCCCAATGCCAAGCAGTGGCTAGAGGGGTATAAAGCCTCCAAGCATTGGGACCTGACTTCACTAATGCTCTTGTGGCTGAAAGCAATCAAATCATCAGAGCAATGTTCCAACATCTAGTGTAAAGCCTCCCTAGAGGAGTAGAGGCTGTTACAGCAGAAAACTCTATTAATACTTTTGATTTCAGAAGAAATTTTGGATGAAGAGACCTTTGAACATATTTTATACCTCACACAGCTAAAAACAGTAATAACACCAATCTTTAAAGATGAATTTTGTCTGTACTTTTGCATGATGCTAATTGCTGTGGTAGACATTCCATTACTTGTAGGAACGCTAGCTCGTAGCCCTAAAGAAGCAAGCTTCAAACACCATTCATGTCTTGACTGATCTACTGCATTTGGGCTAAATGTAACACTGCGTTAACTTAATATTTCATTGAAAGATTGCTTTGAGGATACAATGGTGCAACGTTGTTTTGCTTTAACAAAAGTCTTTATTTAGGGAATACACCTTGAATGGGTTATACATTTGCATTGCGAGGGAGATGGTTCAGATGCATTGCATTGGCTGTACGGCTGGGCTTCACAACACATGCATGCAGTCTGATCAAACACATAGGCTTCTCTTTTTTGCTGTGTGCTTTAAACAATGTGTCTGAAAATAAAGCTCTTGAAAACAAAACTCAATATCATAAAACAAGGTCTTCAGCAACAGACACAAGTCTAATCTACATACAGTATTGACGGAATAGCTCGAGTCACAGTATATATCAGAATAAGAGGTCACAATCAGGTGAAGAAATCAGGCACGAAATGATAGAACAGGAGATCGGAGTCATCGAGACAGGCACAAATCAAAAATAGATATGAAGATATTCAAAACATCTGCTTGTTCACAGTATTTGTGGGTGCATGTCAGCTCTAGTGCTCCAGTGAGAGCCTGGTGAGATAGAAAACTGTGCTTGTGGAAGACTCAGAGTTGAAGAGAATATCTGGGCAGTAGAATACAAAGCAAGAACCTACAACAAAGGTATGGCCACATAAGTGAATGAGTAACTCCATCTCGTCTCTGTGTTTGGTAGACTTGTGGGGAGAAACCCCACCAGTTTAGTTGAATTCTGTGTAAATAATCTGGTAAACTTTCTCTTCTTGTTTTGGTGAAACTGGTGGGATATGTAGCTTATTACTGCTCAGGAGCAAAGATGTAGTCCAGAGCCTGTCTCTCTGCTGCAGCCACATTCGGGTGCCATAGATCCACACTGAAAATCACTCTTGGACCATCTTCAGCGCCACCTAGTTGAAAAAATATAAAAAATGTCTAGCTATGAAAAATTTTATGTAATCCCTGCCGAAAAAGGATCATTAGAAACCTTTAGGATTAAAACCTAATAGTTTTGTTTTCTAATTGGAATTGGCTTAAAGGTGTTCAATATACACCAGCAGTTTCCTGTAGCACACATTTAGATCTCATTAGGAAACCATCAAATGCATTTAGAATCAGCCATTAGTGACCTGTTAAACCATTAGGATCTTTTACATTGTGATATCAACCCATTAAAAAGCCAAAATGCGTTACAAAGCCATCAGGAACCAACAGAATTACTTAATGGTTTCAATGTTTTTTTTTTCAGCAGTGATAGTATACACATCTTTGACTGTCTGGAAATCTTAAAATGCTCAGTGTGTGATAACAACAATGAGTGACAGTCAGATGTAATGGATGTAATATTACACCCTTCCAAAGTTAAAATTGTCAACAGAATGTGATAAATAACAGTTTTGATGGTTTATCAAAAATCTCTATGTATCGCGTTGCAGTAACATCTACTGAAGTTAGCATGCTAACCAGCTAGCCCCGGCCTATCCTGTTTCATAATAAGACTTTGTACCTCAAGAGGCAATAGTGAGTCATTTGTAAGGTCAAGTCAGCCATCAGTTCAGCATGAGAGGATAAAGAAGTAGCACCAGAGCCAGTTATTGAGGAGCCTGGCCTCTTCCTATTTCCCCTATTATATCAAAGACATGACTGCTAAACAGCAGAGGGCGCCCACAAGCGAGTCCTCAATGAATGGGGGTAAATGGATAAATGGATAAAAGCAAAAAGTTAAAATAGTTTCTAATCACTTGCCCAGAACTTTCCTTTAATTTTCATAAAGTAGAAGGATGTTTTTAACTGAAAAACAAAGAAAACTATGTTTCCTTTTTTCTACAGCGAACAAGTTTTAGGCAGCAGTAGCATTACTGCTACTGAGTGCTGATTGGTTGGTGAGCAGAGCAGCTCATTGGCTGTTTGCGTTCACTTACGTTATAAACATACATGAGGTGCCATTTTAAACTTCAAAAGCTCTTAAAAATATAACAGTGGTGTTGAAATGTTTTATGCTGTTCTGTGTTCAGAAAATGAATGTATTCTTTTACATACAAATGTTTAAGCATTTTTAAACTATGATTTTGCTCAAATGCTCCATCTTAAACCATTCATTTTGAACTCGCTTGGGAGCGCCCTCCAGTGTTTGAGAAACCCGGAAGACATTACAGAGTGGTAATTCTACTCTCCACAAGTTCTGTGGTAACACTGCCCGAGGGGCGTGTTCTAACAACCACCCCTTGTCAATCAAGTTAAAGGTACTATCCCTGATTAGACTATTTAAGGACAGGTGGACAATGAAAAGAACAGTAAACGCAACAATGGCTGAGGCTCTTGGCAAGTGACCATTATCACCACTGCCGCCCGTTCCCGGCAAGAAACCACATTCGGCAGCAAACAGAAGAGGTGATATAAACAGAAGCTAAAAAGAAACATGGCACAAGACAGAAGGCAAGTGCATTATGGTTTCCGATTCACGTTGACTCTAAAGATCTGAATGGGTGGTTTGCTAATAAAAGCTTATTTTTACCGTTATGAGAGATGGTGTGCAAGAAGGAGTCATCCACTAGGAGGCAGTGTCCTTCAGACCAGCACTGCGGCTCACCACCCACCACCAGCTCACACTGGGCAGGAGTCTGTAGGCCTGAGAGAGAGACAGTCAGTCAGAACAGCTTTCACAACACTATAGTATACCACTAAAAAGGGACTCTTTTTGTATTATTTGCAATGCAAGTGTTTAAGAGTTGCTCCCATCATTAGAAAATTGTATGTTTGAATTCCAGGGATGCCATCCTTGGCCAGGAGACAAACAGTGTGTGTGTGTGTGTGTGTGTGTGTGTGTGTGTGTGTGTGTCTTAGATCTTGGAGAACTTAACTATCAGGTAGGAATTAACTGTGCTTTATCCCTCAATACAACTGGAACTAAAAAATCAATAGTGTTGTGTGATCCCAAGCCCAGTATTGTATGATATACTCCCAGCACTACCTGAGGCATTTTGTTAAACAGGAAAAGAAATCTGAGGCCTACATTTCTACTTGCCGTGGTAAAGGAGAGCACAGATATAGGACAAATAGGAACAAAGTGAAACAAGCAAAGAGAGGGATGCACAGTACTGAATATTATGTCAGAGATTTAAGGAAAAAAATGAAAAGAGAGGATATGTCATATTGGGAAAAGGCCAAAAATAGCTTTATGGCATTACATTCAATGGATTAATGCTCATATCCAGTGTAGGATTATTTATATATCAGAGTTTGTTTTTAAACTCTGGATTCAGTGCCAACTGTCACATTTTATCTCAGATCTGCTGGCGAGAGCCCAACCTTCTACACATCCAATGTATATTTTCCAAAGAGTAAAAGTACAATGATTCCGAAACACACAGTAGTATATACTTGCATTTTTCAGTGTTGTAATGCACTATTAATAATACATTCTGGTATTATAATTGAAAAAACACCTACAATATTGTTTGTTTTTCTTTTTTCTTATTTGTGTGTTATTGCTGTCGCACAAAAAAGTTGTATCTTCATTTCTGTAGTTTTTTACTTTTTCACATATTTTGAAATCACTAGTTATGCTTTGCATTGGATCAATGTCATGATGAACAGATCAACAGAAATGGTCCAAAATTACTTGCTACATTCTTGTTACATTAACTAACCACTACAAGTTAAGAACATTTTCTCCTTCTCCTGTAAAGTTACCATTTTGGAAATATGAGATTTTGATCCGACAGCGATGATGTGTTTAGCTCGCATGTGTACAGTAACAGATTACAGTTGCAACCTAAAGAATCAGAAGTAAGCTCTGGTCTGATGAGTGCAGGGCTTTACTGTAGTTCTGAGTGGTCAGCGGGATGCAAGAGTTACTATAACTCACGAACTACACATTTAGAAACTTCTTCTTCTTCTTCATCTTCAACATTTAAAAAAATAGAAACTGGGACAGCATAGGATTATGAATGCAGTTTAGTCAGATGTGTTCAGCAGTTTAATGCTGTGATTCTGAGCGGTCAGTGGGATGCATGAGTCACACTGAAACAAATGGCACCTTGAATTCACATGATTCAAATGTGTCAAGTGGTTGCAAATGAATAAAATAAAATATATAAAAACAATTATTGTCAAAACAAGTCAGCTTAATGAATGCAGCTGTGTTGATGTTATATATTCTGTTTGTGTGCAATCACATGAATCATGAACCTTCTTTTCAGGTCACTACTCATGTATACAGAAAGTTCTTTTTCAGTGGTTAAAAAACACACACACACACACACACACACACACACACATTTTGTAATGTGCTTATCCTCCTGGGTCACAGGGGGAGCTGGAGTGGTTAAAAAATAGGAAAAATAAAAAAGTTTAAAAAGAATAATTCACTCACCACAAATGTAGTCAATCAATACATGTTTGGTGCTTCTGTAGTTTTGCACTTGAGCTAAGAGGCTAATGCAGCTAACAAGTAAATTTTGTCTTCAAATAGATTTGCTTCTTTTTGACACAGCATGACATTACAGTGGTGGTGATAGGAACTGGACATCTGGCTTCTAAAAGATAGCGTTACCTCACATAGTTATTATACAAAATGGTTGCAAACATGCTGCCTGATGCCTGAGACATTGTTTTCAATTAAAACATATTTTTAAAATCCTTTTAGGGCTTCATAAGGCATTTTTTCCCCAAAGCATTTTTTTTCAGATTTTCCACTATTTTACCATTATCCACATTACATATACAAACTTATGTATTTTCAGTGTTTGGATTTGGATAGTCAAAATGGTCATATTTGCATTGTGGACACTACGTCCCCTGGTTACTAGCATCACCACTGTAAAGAGGTTTCTCTACAATGAACCATTTCATTTCAAACCATTCTGAATGACTTTGTTTGCATCTTAATGATGTAATAATACAGACATTTCTAAAAATTGGTGGAATTCCCCTTTAACAACTTAGCACAGTTTGAGGTAAGTATGTGGTGAAAGTAAAATAAATGTCAGTAATGGTGTTGATGTAATACATTTCATTTATGTGGAGCTAATCCTGATGTTCAAAGCAACATTTTTTCACTGTACTTGTTAGCTACATTAGCTTCTTAGCTCCAGCGTAAAACTAAAGAAGGAAACCTTAGAAACCAAACATATCTTGGCTGAGCTACATTTGGAGTACGGGGGAGGGGGAACTGGGTAAATTTGATTTTTCACTGAACTATTCCTTAAAGATTAGTGGGGGACTTATGTTAGTGTAGCTGAGCAGTATGTAACTCACCCAAATGGCAGCGCAGACGTGTGTTGGTGGGGCCATAAACTCCTCCTAGCGAGGCCCCGGGGCCTAGCACCCAGAAACCTGCAGCCCCCAGAGAGTTACTGCTGATGAAGGTTCTGAGGGAGAGGAGGGTGCGGTATGTACACGGACACGCACGACAGTTACTCGCCACACACACTCCTGCGTTATACAGTGGAAACACAGCCTGACCCTGCAAGAAGAGCCAACACACATACATACATCATTTGGATTTATGCCATAAGAAAACCTTATATAGCCAATATGGTGATGTTATAAGAGAACGAAAAAAGCTTTGTTAGCTTTGATAGCTTTCATATAGGCTAATGTAACAATACATTATTTAATTTTATTTAGTTTTAAAGCATTTCTATTGGTGCAATCATTATGAAATGTTCACACAGTGTAAAGGGCAGCAGGTACTTTCAAATGAAATTTTTTAAAATGACAAAACAGTAGTTATGAGATTTGATATGACAGCAATGATCAAGAAACTAGATTTTCATACATTTTCAGATATAAATGTTATGATATTATTTCTATATTTACTTTATTTTTTCTACTACTGGCTTGGGGAACTCTGGTCCTGGACGGTCAGATTCCTGCACAGTTTGGTGGCTTTCCTGCTTTAACACATCAGATTCATCGCAGCAGCTAACTGCTTATGGTTGGTGTGTCAGAGCAGAGAAATCACCAACCTGTGCTGGACTCGAGCCCTCCATTCCCCACGTCTGCTGTACTGAGCATCAGTGTAGCTTTTTATGAGTTTAAGGCCTGGTGAAGCAGAGGGATGTACATTTAAAAGATCTCTCAGAGTGCTGCAGTGCAGATATTGATTCCAGAATGAGAGAGAGAGAGCAGAGAGAAATGGTACTTAATAAATATTCAAAACACATTAAGTAGTGTGCAAACTGTTTCTTCAAGATCACATTTGTTTGGCTATATGAGGATCATCATTTGTCCGAGTGATTATGTACACCTCCTATTTTTCAATTTTTTTTTAATTTACATTAGAAGATTCTCACAATGTATCTATTTTTTTCAGCACAAATAGACCATTTGCAAGATAATTAAATAAATACATCCAGAGCTTTGTAACAACTGTAATATAAAGGTCTTTCACTGACCATCTTTTCATTTTGACAGTCTCACAGTAGGAATGAGAAAGAGCATACCTACTTACAGTACTTTACAGCAAACCAGCCAAGCCTCAACATTTATATGAATTTAGACATTACTGACACTTTTCTACACTACTTAACATAACTACATAATTACATGGTTAGCTATGTAGAGAAATACATTTCAAAATCAGTTTTCAAAATCAGGAAGGTTTGAGTCTGCACTTCTAATTGTCAAACAATGTCAAAAATATAAATGGAAATTTTTATGTTAGATAAGACTGCACATTCAAATGTGCACCATAAAAATATCTCTTCTACTTTCACACACAAATATGGCACTGATTGAACAGTTTGAAATCACAATTTAAATTTCTCTGTCTGTTTCAACAAGCTAGAAATGACAAATAATTCATACGAAATTACCCTTCTATGAGTGTAATGTTATATTATGAGTGTATATGGATATATTAGGGTTTGTCAAAGGTTTAACACATTCTCTATTTCACGCTGACACCAGTATAGAAGTGGATAAGAGTGGAGGATGGGATTTATGACCTTTGGTCCATGGTAAGTCCACCCCAACTTTGTGTCAATGCCTCTCTGGTAGACTGCCTGGAATTCAGCGAGGATTATGGAATAGCTGGCCTCCAGAACATCTATGTCATGGCGATGAGCATCCCGAGGGAAGAAGGGGATACTGGGAACATCGGGCAGGTAAAAGAGGTGCGGCTTCTGGATGGAGGCGCGATCATTCATCCTGGCCTAAAGAGAAGAGGACAAAGGCATGGAGGGATTAACAGAAGCAAGCACAGAGAACGTTAAAGTAGGGTGAATGAGAAAGGAGGGCGCTTAGTTTAGGTAATCCCTGAAGACCAGGCATAAATGGCCAAGCATAAACTTTTACCTCTTCAGCTACCTTACTGCATCCATGAATATGTAAAGTGCTAGACATTTTCAGTGGTGGTAACTTTAAAATACCACATTTTTATAAATGTGTTTTAATTATGTTGTGCTAAGTGAAATTTTCTGAGTGGTAAAATAGATAATCCTGTTTAAAAGGTATTAGGCTTTAATTTTGAAAGCCTAATCTGACTTTGACCCAGCTACTGCCATGCAAAGCTGTCCAAAGAAGCAAACTTCAGACACCAAACATGTCTTGGCTGACTACATATGGGGGTAGGGCATTAGATTTTTTACCAAGCTATTCCTTTAAACATAACCCTGAATCCTAATCCATTCTTCTGGACTTAAGCCTGCCCAGTTGTGCATGTCAGACCTGGTTGCGTAGGCCTTTGTGAATGCGGCCCATGCCGGCCCAGCTGTAGCGCTTGGCGTACTCCTGCAGTGCCGAATACAGTTTCCTGCTTCCTGCTGCTGCCTGGATGGGGAAAGGGGCGTGGCTTAACACTGGGGTGAGGTAGCTCTCTCCTCCCTCCTCCTCGCCTGTCTCCATGGCAATGGCTGGGGCAGCTTTGGGGGCTGAGCGTCCCATGTCTGTGGTGGAGCGGGACAGGGCGGAGAGGGTGGAGCTGGACTTCAGCGCTCCTACGTGGCTCCGGCAGGATGGTGGGTCGGAGCCCACGCGATAGCAGTACCAGAGGAAGAGCAGCAGCAGGGTCCACAGCAGACCACTTAGGGGAGGCCCACCCAGCTCCACACAGGGGGACAGAGGGAGAAGGTCCAGTGACCAGGACATCCTGCTGAGAGCCTGAGATTTTAGAGGGGAAGAAGAATGTGGAAAGTGGTTAGATTCTTCACTTACTGGATACCTGTTGGAACACTGTAGGTGTACAGTTAAACACTATGGATAAAGGCTATGGAAAATGGGAACCGTCTGGGGGTCCCTGAGGACTGTTCTGAGAACCACCACTATGTAGAACAATTTTTAAAGATTCTTTAACAAACCATAAACAACAATATACAACAGGTACATGTTCCATCATAGAGAAGAACCATATAACCATGCAAAGAGCCATTCATGAGTTCAAATGTTTAGTTAAGTTGTCATGGTTCGTATAAAAGTTTAGTGCCAAAATGCATTATAGACCACTTTCAAGAATTTTCTTTTATTTCATGATATTTGATGTTGGGATTGGGCTTTACAAGAAATATCAGGGCTGTTTTATAATTAATGCCACATTTATTAGAGAAATAAAAATGTGTTTTCCTTAGAAATCAGCTGTTATTCTATTTAAAATCCTTGAAAATCCACTGTTTGTTTAACTGGTAACTCTGTAACTACAGACTATAAACTAACTATAGTCTAAATCTCACACTAATTCTACTTGATTATGATTCTTATAATATCAAGAAACACATAGTGAAATCTAAAATTTCACCTGTATTTGGTTCAATTAATTAACACAGAGGCCATGTGGCTCTCAGAATGTTCTGTTCTCGGTTCCCCATTATCACCGGTATGCGGCCTCGACTAGATTTATAATTGGGTGAACCAGTTTGGGCCAGACTGCACAGCATTAGCACCTTAAAGTCTGTGTGCTCTGCTTTGAGCAGGAATGGGGGGGGTAGACCTGTTTACGGACAAACCTTTCTCCAAAGTGCGCAATGTCTGTCAGTTTATCATAACTTTATAGCTTCGCTCAGCACACATCAGAATCTAACAAGTGGAGAGAGGCCAGATGGAGGACAGATGGATGGATGGATGGAGAGAGGAAAGGACACGGAGGCATGCAGAGCCCCAGAGTCAGTGAAAGTTCAAAAACATGAAAAAAGAGGGGATGAAAAGGAGGGAAGTGCATTGGTTTACAGAAAATAAGTCATCATTACACGTTTACAAATAAAGGTGCCAAAAAGAGTTCATGGAAGAACATTTTTGGTTCCCAAAACAACCTTTCAGTGGTTGATTCTTCTGTGTAAAGAGTAAAAGATTCACACAATGTAAAGGTTCTAAACTGATTGTCTTTATTAGAACCATGTACTCAAGCTATAAACCATTTTTACCATTTTTAAGAGAAAGAAAGAAAGAAAGAAAGAAAGAAAGAAAGAAAGAAAGAAAGAAAGAAAAAGAAAGAAAGAAATCTGATTCCTTCATGCTTTTCTTACAGAATTCATAGTTTTACATTAAAAATGAAAACAGGTTAAATCCTTAAGGGGTAAATTAAGCAAATTTAACTTTTGCTACTGTCAAAAACTGAAGTGCTGAAATACAGAGTCTAAATCTCAGTGAAGGGTGCTGTCATCAATATTACATACGAAAACTCAGAAAACACACCTTGGTTCACTGGTGGCTTAGGATAGTAAATAAAATCGTCAGCATCACAAACTCTGGTTCCTTTCAGCATCACTGTAAAGAATTCAGTCAGTAAGTTTATGATTGGTCATTTTCACATCAAACCACCCTGAATGACTTTGTTTACATCCCAACCACTGAACTATGTGGAAGTAAAAAGCCTGGAATTCTCCTTTAAGGTAAAGACCAAAATTCACGAGATGGTTTATACAAAGTGACCACTGTTCCTCACACTCCAGGCTTCACAGGGCTCAGCTCTTTCAGGTGTCCTTCCTTACCTCTAAACATGAAGTGTTTAGACCAAAGGAAGTCTCACTGTTTCCTCTCAGTGATGGAGCAAACTTCCCCCTGAGCTCTGCACTGCACAATCACACAGCTCTGAAGACTTCTCCACACACACACACACCTTTCTGCGCTCACACTTCTGTCCTGAATCAGTGTCATTTCTCTTCAGTCCTCTGCTGGTTATCTCTATGCTTTATGACTTTACTTTTAAAAATGCACTCAAGTCATTCTCCCTACACGTATTTATATAGTTAACTAGACCCAGCAGTTGTGTGGCTCTTGTTTCTTCGGTTATAGCTTATTGCAGGATCTCCAGGTACTTCGTATTGGTTTGGCTTCCACTGTTTGCACGTTTCGCAAGGGCATCCGCTAAATAAGCACGTGTACGTTTTCCTAGTATTAGCCAGATGGAGACAGAGACGCTACTTCTTCCAGTGCTGGTGTCTTTGCACTATTGCATAACACTCCTGCAGTCGCTTGCATGTTTTTGTGGCTGCGCTTCCGCGTTCACGTTACTCAGACACTGTCTATACGGCCAACAAGAGCGACTTCAACCCGCCAAACATTCTCTAGATCACTACTAGCTCGCACCAGCTCCTTCACTACATCACATAGTTCATTTCTGTGTCGCAAAACCTATTTTTGTGTTGCGTTTTGCATTTAAAATGACTTACCACGTCTCTGCTCCTCACTTGGTGTCTCTTTTCCCCCTCCCTCCTTCCTTCTTCTGCTCTCCCCCCTGCTTATCCGCTGCTGCAACTAGCGAGCATACAGCAGGCGGTCTTGGCAAAAATCTCAGAAGTAAAACCCCGTCCTGCCTTCACGAAAAGGACCGAGAGAACACAAACTACCGGAGGGAACTAATGCAACGTGATCCCTGCGCATTTAAGCCTCATTTCCCCTCGTTTTCTCGCGAACCGCGCGTTGCCTCAAACGCTGCGGCAGCCACGACGTTTTCAGAACCACGGCGCTGGACAGCTCCCCCCGCGGCCTAAAGAGGCTGTAATACCGCGCTTTGGCCACCAGATGGCGCCTCTCTGAACGCCACCGCCAAAGCAGCAGATACCCTCACATAGACACACATCATTTCCATACACAGACATCAACGCGTCAAAGCGCACGGGTTGGACCTGTCATATAATGGCTGTTCCACCCACCTAAGCGCCAGCCCCGGGCCTCAGACCTTTAGATCGGAACAAAAACACGAAGGACGCGGCGGAGTGACTGACCACATTTTCCGCTCCGACTGAGAGAATGCGTTATTTTGCCTTCGTGTGCTGTTGACATCCCTGGCCAGCCCAGCGTGTTTTATGCTAACAGGGGGGTCGACCAGAGACTGTTCTGGCATTTCTGGTGAAGGGAAGGAGACGGAGCATCAGCGCGCGGAGGAAAACAAGCCAAAATCCGCAGCACTGCTGAGGAAGAGGAGCAGCCGGAGGCCCGTTAACGGTGTTTGGAGGTGCGTATGTTTTCTGCTCGTCTCTGTAGACCGGCCCTCAATGCTTTACAGCCTGGGGGGAGCTGCGCGCGCCTCACCTTCTACGACAGGTAGAACGATGCGTATATAATGATGCATAAGGGCGACAGAAAATAAGCAGAGCGTGCGCGTGTTTTTTATTTTTTACTGTAGCAATTGTTCATTGATTTTTTCTCACACGGGCCTCCAGAGCCTGCCGTTATTTTAGACAATCCTCCTCGGTGACTTAGCCAACTGCTACGTGTGGACGGTGCGTCTGACGTTCAGGCGAACGAATAGATTTTTTTTGAATAACAGTCAGTGCAGATGAGATTTTGGGGGAAGGGGGGTAGTGCGGGGGGCGGTGGGATGGGAGGGGGGGGCTCTGAACGAGGAGGGATCTGAGGCTTCTGCCCGCAGTGTCAGCTACAGCTCTGTGTGCATGTCAGACTCCTCCGATCTGATCAGCACTGTTGTTATCTCGTTTTAATTTGTTTTGTTTGTTTGCTTGTTTTACTGACTAACAGCAGGGCAGCTTCTCCTGTCGCTGTTCTCATTGGTGCTGTTGTCCTGGACAGATTTTCTCCCGGTGGTCCACACAGGCCAACACTAACACGAGTCCTGAGAGGAGGTGGCGTCATTAAGCCATCAGAGAGCGTGTAGGCGCGTTCGGCTGTTTTTATTTCCATCCGTTTTCCGTCACGCCTCGATTGGCCGGCGCTTCTGGTTCGTTCGAGCGGCCCTCGTTAACTCGTTAAGTGTCCTCCTCAGTCCCGAGACTGGACACTTTAAAGACACACTATTGTTTGTTATTCTCTTCTTTGCACTACTAACATATTACGTGAATAATTATTTTTGTTTACCGGGAAACATATACGATGTCCGATATGCTGGACATTGGGACTTTAAATTAACATCTTTATTCTATGTTTGCTGTATGTACATTTGCGTGTGCAACAATAATAATAATAATATTATCAATAATAATAACAATAATAATAATAATAATAATAATAATAATAATAATGATGATGATGATGATAACAATAATAAACTTTATTTTAAATAAAGTGTTATATATATATTATATAATTTTATATTTAAGCTTTTTAACACAAAGCATATACACTGGTTTATATGTAATGTTATACATATTACACATATTTCATTTTATATGCTAGACCAGTGTCATATGCAGAAACAACATTTCTGTGTTTCAGAAATAACTTTTTTAAAATCCCATTAACCTAACTCCAATGTCCAGTATACCAGACAGAAAAATCCACTAAAATCACTAAAAATCAATATTTATCCCCACATTTTTAGGAGGAGAGGATAAATACTGTCATAATTGCCACAGTGTATCACCTCTCCTGGCATCCTTTTCAACACTTCTTTACTGCACTATTGTCATTTATTAATGTACACCACAACAGTTATTAACAGTCCCTCTTTTTCTTCTTAATTGTCATCATATTTATCATTATCGGAGCATTGTACTGAAATACTTATAACAACCTGCAGATCAGACTAAGAATTTTGTTGACACAATATAATAGGGAACAAAATCAAATCACTAGAGCAAATATGTGTGACATTCTTGTCTGCATTATTTATTCATCTTTTGATTTTTTAATGTTGACATATAATATTGATATCCCATGCTTTGTTTGTGTTATTGTAGATGTACTTTGTTTGCCTAGTTTTACACTTGAATTGTTGTATTAGGCTATTGTATTGAACATATGTGGGTGTTACTGCTTAGTAATACATCACAGCCTGTGAACTGGGGTAATCTAGAAGTTGTCAGAGTTTACCACTTGTATTTATGACTTTGTCAGCCCTTTGAGTGCAACATCCTTTTGTTCAACTCAGAAATGAAAAGGTTTCAAGTTCTGTTGTCCTTCTGTTCATACTGTTAGTCTGTTTATGATGCAGCACCACAACACCTTTTGAAGCTGGAAGATGTAGTCAAGGACATTAGATGAAAAACATCATTTTTATCTAGGTCAGTGAAAAAAGCATCTATCAACCTGGTAAATCTGTACAAATGGTAATTAACTGTAATAGTATTAAACTATTAATAACTGCTTTTGCCAGAGGATTGGCTAAGATACACCTTACTCATCAAAGTAGAGCAACTCACCCAGAGGAATAGTTCTTTAAAGCTGCACTAAGATTTTTTGTTGTTAAAACTAAAAGAAGTAGCATACGTCAGGAGATAAAAACACTCTATAATATGGTATCTGTTCATTGCTGCAAGTCACCCTGTAAGGCCTGAAATAATCATTTAAAAGTCAAAGGCATTAGATTGGATTTTGCAGAACTTTTTCAGTCCACATTGTATGTTTTTACATATTATCGTCACACACAAATGCTCAAAAAGAAGGTCTGCCTCAGTGTAATATCATAATTCACTTACATCCTCGGAAGACACGTCCTTCACCAAATTGCAATCATCAGATTCATTAGCTTGTGGCGGTCCGAAGCACAATCGATGTTACAAAATGTTTTTCCGCACGTTGCTTGCAATTACAAATTTCCACCAGAGAGGTCTCCATATTCCCAAAACTTACATAGCGCAACTTTAATATAATATGCAATCAATCCACATTTAACTAATACATTATCATTCTAAAATACCATAAAATAGGCCAGCTGAATGATCTACAATCATTCAGTCACTGAACAACCTCCATGTGTTTTGTTTACTTTCCACATGAACCGCATGAATGTGACCATGTTAAGAAATTCCAGCAAAAAGAAATTCACCACCTGATTTGCACTTGAGAACAGTATAAGCGTGAACTACTAGCCAATCCCCAGTGTTGAATTCACAACTATTCTATTGACTGAACATGTACAGTGTTCATGTAAGTGTAGTTGTAGACAAATGAACACTGCAAGAGAGAATTTATCATGGCACACAGTGGATACTCCAGTGTAGGCATGACGGAGTCTGTTTTCATCCAACCCAGCACACTCTCCCAGGCTGGGTGGTGTAATTCATGTGTGTGTGGCTCCAGTCCTGAAGGGCCACAGCCCTGCAGAGTTTAGCACACTATTTCATTTAGCACATTGAATTCAACTCTCATTAGGCCTCCAGGAGGTCAACTGGGTGTGTTAGAAGCACTCATCTGTGCAGAGGCCCTCCGAGGCCTAAGTTTGACACCACTGATGTAATATAACACACTGAAGATCCTGTGAGGATGAGATGTTGGAAGTTAGCCCACTCCATGAGATCATGGCAGCTTTGTTTGTGGTAAAAGATGCTGTCGCATATTTAATTTACCAAACTACAAATGTAACAGAGAAGAATTTTAGGTGATTTCATCAACTAATAACTGTATTGGTAGCTCTTCCATAAATCCCAAAGTGTATACTTAGTAAGATCTTATCACTTATTTATATAGTACTGAGGCAATAAAATACAGATCAAATGAAATAACAGCAAAATTACAAACTGATGATTAATTCAACATGAAGGAAAGTCTTTTTGTAAAAAAGGTTTTTAACCTTTTTTCTAATTTCAACGGTTTCTATGCCTTTCTATTCTCTCTCTTCTCTTTTCTCAGACTGCTTTCTCTCACACTTCACCATGGTGTCTACAGTTCTTGCTGTGACGCTATGTGTCACACTTCTGCAGATGACTACAGGTAAGAATATTTATAGCCTAAATGTGTTTGTTTGGGTGTGCACTTATCTAGATTTTAATTTGTGCTAAAATGCATTCAATGGCAACTGTATTGCACCTCTTCATCATCAACAATGATGCAGCAGACCATGGATGACATATAAGGTTTCCCATATAACATGATGAACTGCTTGCCGTTTTAGGTGCAGCATTTGTGACTCCTGATCCTGAAGGTCCTCCCACCATGACATCTGACCCACGCCCGCTGGGTGAGTTGATCCATGCCGCATTGATGAGTAAGGAGTATCTTGGCCAATCGTCTAGCAACATAGGTGAGCTCATTAAAGCACATGAGAACTGTCCACATTGCTCATTTCCCAAAGCAGAGTTTCCTAGTATTGGAGTAAAAATCAGTTTTAAACTGTTTGTTGGACATCGTTTGATGCTGTTGGCGTTTGGTCTCATTTTGATGATACCAGTAACTCCTGGATGGTTGATTTTTCAAAGGCTTGGGCAAAGAAATTACAAAATAAATCGATTAACCCCTTAAAATCTCAGGCTTATTACATGTTAAGGCTTATGATTCAGTAACTACGTGAACTACAATGCAAACTAGCTGAATTATTCTTCGGTTATAGAAGTGTGTAGAAAACCTTTGGACCTGCTGGTGGGCTGTGCCCATTTAAAGAATTAAACTGAATATAACACAAAGAATAATTAAAAACAGGGCCTCAAAGTACTGTAAGTATTTCTCTCACGTCTGTGAAACATTTGCACATTTACAATACAAGACACAAAGGCAAGATTCATAAAACACAGCGCCAGATTTACTGTGGCAGTAAGATCAATAGCATGGCGGTAAAACAGTCTTTTCTTCCTGTGTCAAATTCCATGTATGACAAATCCCCCTCCTGTGTGTGAAAAGTGGGTTTGGACATGTTAAGACTGTAAATTGAATTCCTAATATCAAGAAAAATGGGCAGTAAAAGCTATAACAGATGCCAAAGTAATTAGAATATCAGAATGTTGATTTAATTTTACATTTTCATAAAAAACATCAAATGGTATTATTATAAAAATTATTTGTTAGTGACAGTTGTTACTGTGATTATAATGAATTTGAAAAGGCTTGAACTATTTACTATTTTACTATTGAACTATTTACTATTTTACTACTGAACTATGTACTATTATGATTATTGATTAAGTTAATTGAGAAATTGAATCTTACATACTTTCTTGATATCAAAAGCATTTTTACCAAACAATTTTCTATAACTTGTCATAAATTTTCCCTTAAAATCCGTAGCTGAGAATTTGGTCTTCTTAGTTTCTTTGGTTTACTTTCGTTTGACAGCCAACCAGGGCTTCAGTTGGTGGGTCTTTAATATGTATGACCTCATTTACTTGTCAATTCTGACTGGTGCTTGTGTAGACACCAGTGAAAATACAGCAGCGTTAAAAGACAGCATAATCACTGCCACAGAAACTTTATGAATAGCTTGTATTTACCATTATATGTATTTGGGTGATGGTGTGCTGTTACACCAAGTTTTATGAATCTGGCCCAGTATTGCTCATCTGACTTAGTTTGATTTAATATGATGATTAGTAAGAACTCTTTTAGATATTCAGAAATGCATGAACAGAATAGTCTGCCTGTCGAGGCCAAGGGAATGACTAATCTTGTTAGTTTTAGTAAGAAAATAAATACCTCAATTTTTTAAATCTTTTTAAATATTTTGATGTGTGCCTAATGCATGCAAACTGCCTGTTCCTAACCTCTTAAATGGCCAGGACCCATCAGCAGGTCCGTAGTAAACTATGGACCTGCTGATGGGTCCTGGCCATTTAAGGGGTTAGGAACAGGCAGGAAGAATAACGCAGCCTGTTGTCCATGATGTTACTAAATAATAAGCCTTAGTATATAATAAGCACATGATTTTTGGGGTTGATATAATATAGGCCATCTTTTCTGTTATATATCAAGGACCATGATGGAAAGTCTAGGACCTTGTTGTGTTCTCCTTGACAAACAAGCTGAGATGGAATTCTTGCTTTTTATTGCCAAATAAACTTAAGTAAAGTTTAGTGATGATTGTCCATTCTGATTTTAGAGCAGTTAATCTTTACATTGGATGGTATTAAATATTTTGCATTATTTTGCTGCTGTAAGTAATGCGTGGACACACGCATGGTGACTACATGCAGTATGTTTTATGTCTTTCCGATTTGTATGATGTTGCTTCAGTACTGCAAATTATTTAATAAGAAAGTCATTTTAAAGTAGCCTTAATTTTTAACAGTCACATTCAGAAGTTTGGGCACCCTGGTCAAATGACATGTTTTGTTGATTTTCTGAGTGAAAATAAGTTAACACATCCTCCACAGAGAACACACTCTTGCACATTTTAATCCATAATTACTATTTATTTTCTTAGTTTAATATATTCAGGAAAAATATTACATAAATGTGTCTTGTGCAAAAGGTCTGTCACATTTTATATTTATTAATTTGTTTTATCAATATGTTAAACTCAGCAAATACATATAACTGGACACTACAATTTGCAGAAAAAATGCCATTTTACCTGTAGATTCCCTGTAGAGGGTGGGTTACCATATTTTCACTTGCAAAATCAACAACTATGTAATTTGACCAGGGGCTTTGCATACAGCTGTTCCCAAATCTCACATCATTATTCAACCAAAAAACTTAAACACACTTTCTTATGTGGTTTCTGACACTGTACGACATACTGTCTATTAAAGTAGACAAAAGTATATCACATAGCTAAAAAAACAGAAGTTGCATTCAAAGCTTTAATTTTGTCCATTTAATAGAAAACAGTACATTCACTGTCAGAAAGCACATAAACAAAAGCTGATTTGAGATTACTTAACAACTCAACACAGTTTGATAAAAGTGTGTGATGATTTATGCAGTTTGGCCTAAACATGGGCTATAAACATCCATTGCATGTTAGCTCTGGTTTAGAGTCAGGTTTATTGTTATGATTAAGGTTAAGTTATGGGTAGTGATCAGGTCCAGGCTTTTTCAGTTAGGATCAGAATTTAGTGGAGGTTATCTTGGGGTTCAGAATTTCAGAATAACTCACTGTAGTTTACATTGCCTCACAGGCACAACCACCAACCCGACCCAGGCTGTCCCATCTGTTGAACCTGCCTCCACAGTGATGTCACCAGGTGTTCTTACCACTGCTGTGACCTCATCTGCTGCCCCCCAAGCTGGCCAATCAGGAGGGCGGGGTGCTGTGACATCACCACCAGCTGAAGAGGAGACCACAACAACGCTGATCACCACGACAACAATAACAACAGTTCACACACCAGGTATTCTAAAGGGAGAATCTTTGAAACAGTGATACATTATTAATTATTAGTAAATGTTGGTAAATGATATTTAGTAATAATGATATTGTCCAGCATCAATATGTAGGGTAATAAAAAAGAAGATATTTTCTTGCCATGAAACTTTGCATTGATACCTGTTCTATGACAGAAGAAAATTGTACAGTGTGCTTATAAACTAATCTGATTAGTGTGATGCAGTACTGGATGAAAGTCAGGTCTTAAAAGCTCTGTGTTTTGGAACAAACACTGAGACTTGGCAGCAGGAAGCAGGAAGACCAAGCACAGTTGCATTTCATAATCTTCTTTTAATAACCGTATTGCATCGCCTCGTGTTCAAACCTACTAAAGCTTAGCATATTGACTCATCACAGTGGTTCAGTGAAAAGCAGCAGAGAAAAAGCAAAATAAGTGTAGATCATCAGTGCTGAGAAAGACAGTCTGATATGAAATTCATTTAAAAGCAGCACTGAACCCTTGAGGATGCCCCTGAACGCTGCAGTCTTGGCAGCAGCAAAGCCTCATAAAACAACTTCAAAGCTTTTAGAAGCACATAAAGCTTCATATGTTCAAGTTTGTCAAATGTAAAATACAAAAATGTCAAATATTGCTGCCTCGATATCTGTCTAACTTTCTATTTGTCTCTCTGTCTATCTCTCTGTCTCTCTTTTCAGTGCAGTGTAATGCTAGTCTGTCAGGGATGGAGGGTATAGTGGAGTCTCCAGACCCTCTGTCCTCATCGACCCCTTTTTCTCCCCTGGAATGCACCTATAGCATCACTGTGTATCCGGGCTATGGAGTGGAAATACAGGTAAAACTGAAAAAAAAAATCAAATTGACCAAATTTCCCCCCTTTCCTCAAATGTAGTTAACCAGGCAAAATCTGTTTGATACTCCTTTTTTTTATTTTACACAGGAGTTACACAGCTACTGTAGCCAACAGGGCTGGGATGTAACAGAATACAAGTATAAGTAAGGGAATACGTATTGAGAATACAGAAATTAAGTTTCTGTATTCAGTCAAAGTTACATTTTTAGGCAGTATTCAGAATACAGTTTTTAAATACTCACTAATTAAAAAGATATATATATATATATATATATATATATGTATATATATAGATTTCTTTTATATATATATATATATATATATATATATATATACCACCTTTCAAAGAAACACCATGACTGCTTGTTAAGTAACTATTTTAAAATCAGCACACAGCATGCAAAACTTATTCTAAAGAAAAACTCTTTTAAGAAATAACTGAACTGAGCAGCAAGTGATAAGCTTACCTTTGGTATTGTGCTGGACTCGTATGTGCATGTGAAAAACACATGGCTACTTATTTTATAGTCAAATTTGCAAGATAAGATGTTATTGGGATATGGCAAATTACTGGCTTAGGTCATGAAAGGCCAATGGGATTTTGAGAGTAGCAGTGGACTGAAGCAGGCGATAATTGTCAAAATAACGTTGAGAGGTTTGTAGTCATTTGTTTGTATCAGAAGAATTACATGAACAAAACTGCCAAAATGTAACAGCGAGGAACAAAAATTATAGCAGTTTTATGTATTGTAGTGGAATACATGTGTATTCAGTATTCAGGCATCACTACTTTTTCCAAGTATTTTACCCAAACCCTGGTAGCTGACAAGTAATAAAGGCTTATATGCCAGCAATTATCATTGTGCAAACAAGAGTCCTTTTTAAGTCCTTTTTAACCGAATGTTTTAAAACAGAGCAATAAAATAAAATCTTTTTTTCTGAGAGTGCATAGGTGGCCTGAGTAAAGTGCTGTTTGATGGGGAAACCTTTAATAAGATTCTGGCAAATGTCATGTGCACTGTTGTCATGGTAACATGCTCACTCTCAGGTGAAGAAAATGAACTTGTCCAAGGAGGAGTCCCTCACCATCCTGGGACTCGGGGAGCCAGGGCCGGAACTACTAGCCAATGAGACTATGATGAGCGAGGGTCAGGTGATTCGCAGCTCAACCAATCAGGTGCAAATTCACTATCGGAGCCTGAAGCAGACCAATCATGGTGTTTTCAGCCTTCACTACCAAGGTGCCTCCTTTTATTAGTTGCCTATTTTTAGTAAATATAATAAATTCTTCACCTGAGGTCATAAGAAATGACCTGTTCTGTGTTTGCTTGTTTTTCTTGCTGTCCACAGCTTTCCTCCTCTCCTGCTCATTCCCTCTTTCTCCTGAGGGAGGAGGAGTGACCGTGACTGACATTCACCCCGGCGGTCAGGCTCACTTTCACTGTGATCCTGGTTTCCAGGTCAGAGGTCACGAGGTGGCCACCTGCCTGAACTCCACCCGACCCCGCTGGAGCACGACTGAGCCTCAGTGTGTGGGTGAGGAGCCTTTACTCCATTTTGGATGTTTGGACTGTGATTCTTTTCTGGCATTTTTACTACATTTTATCCTTCACTCTTTTTCCTTGGAGTTTGATTCTTTTTTGGTCCTTTTGGTTTCAGATTATTTCACTTACACATAGAGGCATGACAGAATGCTTTATTTGCAAACAATCTTGTACAAAAGTTTAAATGATCCCAGTCAAATTACATGCTTTGTTGTTTTTCTATGTGAAAATAAATTCACACATCCTCTACAGAGAACAGACTTAAATATATTATTGTTCTGTGTTTTTTGTGCACAATTTCTATTTATTTGCTGAGGTTAACATACTGGAAAAAAATTAAACAGAAAATATAAAATGTGCCATAACTTTTAGATATTCCACATTTTATTCATTTTTTATTCAAATATATTAAATTCAGCAAATAAACAGTAATTATGCAATAAAATGTGTAGCAGTGTGTTCTCTGTAGGAGTTTGCACGCTCTCTATACATGCATGTTCAGAGTTCTTTAAGTACTGACAATCCCCACAATATACTTAGAGAAGCATGCATGTTAACAGGCGGGGTGGTCTCTGCACCAAGCAAATGTAGCCAGCCACTTTGAGCCCACATGAGCAAAGTTATGACAAGTAAAATGAAGAAGAAATATTTAATATTCTGTGCCATTTCTAGGTCATTATTCTAATTGAAGCAAATCTGTGAAATTGACAATGTTGAGGTCTTTGTACAAAAAGGTCAAATTTTCCTGTTCCTTCCATTGAAACACATGTTCCGACGACTCTCAGGTGGATGTAATCTACTCATTAGAGGCTTTTGCACGAACTCATGAGCTGCGTCCAAAACCACATACTACACTAACGGACTTCTGTTGGTGGTGTATTATTTTGACATACTGTTTAGTATGATAGTGTGCGTTTTTGGACACAGCCATGGTGTCCGTGCCAGCCACATATCAATGATTTAGCTTTTCACTCAAATTGTCATGCTGATAATATCATTTGTAATGAAAAACGTTGTTTTAAATTAGAAAGAAATGTAAAATAGAAGCATTTTCAGAAGTGATCTCAGACCTTTGGACCCCATTGTATATATATTATAGAAATAGTTAATATTTCTGATTATAGCCATTCTTTTCAGTCATTTCAGTGCAACCAAGTTACTAATTATTTCTCTCAAACTGTAATGGGAGCACATTACTTATTATTTCCTGGAAAAAGTAACTCAGTACTTTACTTCTACATCACATTCTACCAAATTATCTTGCTACATTGGCAGATAATTTTGCTTGTTTCAAGCCTGTTTCTGAAAACAAGCAAAATTTTATGCTAATAATAGAGTGAGATGATTGTATTTAATAAAATTCAATTATTAAACAATGTCTAAAGAACATATAATTTTCTTACAACGATTTCAAGATTAAAAAAATATTAAATATATTGACTAGATTTATGTTGGGTTCACTTGCCAAGATATAATTTTTGATATTATTTTTGCAGTAGATGGTTACGCTACTCAGGAGCCCAGAATCTCAATTCATTTAAAAATGTGCATCCAGGGGGCCCCATTCCTTTCTTGTGCTTAGAGCCCCAAAATCATTAAATCCACCCCTGACAATGCGAACAAATCACAGCAGTCCAGAAATAAATATCTCTCCATTTTTTCCAATTTTTATTTTTTTACATTGTTTGAACACAGCAACTGTCATTTACATTGTGTAAAAGTTTCATGATGAATGGACCAATAGAAATGCTCCAAAATTATTTTTTACTAAAAGTTGCATTAAGAGCTAATAATGTTTTACCTTATTTCATAAAGTTACATTTTTTGAGAGACAAGTTTTTTTTGCGCAGTGAGAAAATAAACAGATGTCTAAAAGCACAGATCTGATAACTTGTAGTTTGTCAGTAGGTCAGACTATTTCAATGTAATGTGATAAAGTATGTGCAGTTACATTTGTATGTGTGTTGTTTTAAGCTGTGTCCTGTGGAGGATGGATCAGAAACGCTACTGTGGGCCGCATCCTCTCTCCTACCGTCCCCTCCACCAGTAACCTCAGCAGTGGCAGCAACTTGAGCTGCCATTGGCTGCTGGAGGCCAAAGAGGGCCACAGGCTCCACCTCCACTTTGAGAGAGTGGCTCTGGATGAAGATGATGACAAGTAAGTTACGCATATTTGCTGTGATAACAAAGTCTCACATCTCCAAAACCTTCTAGGAGAAGGAAAATAATTAATCAATTTTAACATGTGTTAAACAGGCCATATTCTACTTTTATCTTGTATTTATTTTTAAGAGAACTTATGGTGGTTTTTCGGTACTAAAACAGTCAGAATTCAGTTTTACTTGACCTTTTCCAACCTCTCTTTAGTCTTTAAAATTAAACAAGCTCGTTTGTTACTGTGCCTTCAAGACTGATATATGTAAATGCAATATTTTAGTCTCTGCTGTGATGATGCAGTTGATTAGGGGGTTTGTTGCTGTCGGAAACACATGAGGGTGCTTTAGGGCCTAAAATGCATTTTTTGCATGTGTCCTGAAAGTGTTTTTGTTGTTATTTGTGTTTAAAGTGTAATTACATTCACCAAGCACTTTATTAGGTACACCTACTTGTATCTACACTTACTGTCCATATCAGCTCTACTTACCTACAGGTGCACTTTGTAGTTTGACAATTCCAGAAACTGTAACTATGCTCAGGATACCTCTGAAAAAATTTTCAATATGCCTTAATATGTTTGTAAATCTGAAAACTTGCCCAGTTTCCCAAGAGATTGGTGGAAAGATTGAATTCTTACTCATTTCTCAAACCGAAAACACTAAAGATATGTGTAAGATCTCAATCAAGGTGAGGGAGAGTACATTACCAAACTGGAAAAGAGCTTTTCTATTAAAAAAATTGGTAAACCAACATTTTTGTTGCCATTGAGGCTAGCATCAGTACCTCTATGGCAAATGAGTTAGTACCCAGCCAACGCTGGAGAAGCCAGCCATCATGGGACCCCCCAAATACTAAGGAGTATTTTGCACACTGGTCCTAACCAATGAAGAACAGGGTGAAAGTGTGCTAACAAAGTTTGCAGAGAAACAGATGGACTACACTCTGTAATTGTAGAACTACAAAGTGCACCTATATGATAAGGAGAGCTGACAAAATGGATAAAGAGTATAGATACAAATAGGTGTTCCTAACAAAATGCTCAGTGAGTGTATCTATAACTTGTTTCCCTGTTCATCAATATTTAGTACTTTTTCTACTAACATTTCACAAAATACATTTTTATACTGAACTCTTCTGCCTGTCTGTTGATCTCTCTCTCTATCTCTCTCTCTCTCGCCCTCTCTCTCTCTCTCACCCTCTCTCTCTCTCTCTCTCTCTCTCTCGCCCTCTCTCTCTCTCTCTCTAAGACTGATTGTCCGTGGTGGGAATAACTCCAACTCTCCTCTCCTTTTCGACTCGGATCTGGATGACGTACCAGAGCGCGGGATCGTGAGTGATGGATCATCTCTCTATCTGGAGCTAACGGCAGACTCTTCCTCTATCCCTCTGCTGCTGGCACTCCGTTATGAGGGTGAGAAAGAGAGACAGGGTTTACTCACCTCTCTTTTGATTATGTCTTAGCACCTGAGGGTGTATTGGACTCTCTTTACCTTTCATTTCAAATAGTAATACCATAGTATAATAATTAAATTGTCATTGAGTCCAGTGGCGGCATGCTTTATACCTCTCCAGCTGACGCTTGTCATTGCACATAGTCATCTTAGGCTTGTGTGCAGCTGCTCAGCCATGGAAAGCTATTTCATCAGACTCCCTTTGCACAGCACTCAGCAGCCTGTGATGCATGGGCTACTGCTTTGTGGCTGAGCTGTTTTTGCTTGTAGATGCTTCTGTTGTACAATAATAGCACTTATAACTGACGGGCAGATCTAGCAGGGCAGAAATTTGTGGCAAAGCTGACACATTTAGTGTCACTAAGCTCTTTCCTTTGTCTATGGAGATTGCATTGCTATGTGCAAAATTTTATATAATCATTTGCAATGGGTATGGCTTAAACACTTGCACTTAATAGTCAGGAAGGGTGTCCACATACTTTTGGCCATATAGTGTTCCATAGTGTAGCCTGTACTTTTGTCCAGGGACAAAGGAGAGAATTTTAACTTGGGGTTCTGAAGTTTTAAGCAGCATATAACATGATGTACACAGTAATGTTGCACTAAATACTATGCCAGTTTTTTTTTTTTGTCTGGATCATTTATATCCAACAGAATGTATCTTAAGAAAAGCATAGTAGCAGTGAATAGATGATACTTAATAGTGCAGTTGTTGTAATGCAGAGTGAAATGACAGCGTAGCCGTAAACAAGTCATTAATGTAGCAACCGCTATTGCAAATTCTTCTCTCTCTGTTCAGCTTTCGATGGAGAGCACTGTTATGAGCCCTACGTTCCTCATGGAAATTTCAGCAGCACTGACATGACCTTCCCTCTCGGCACAACCGTAACCTTCTCCTGCTCTCCTGGCTTTGTCATGGAGCAGGGGTCAGGAGTCATGGAGTGTGTTGACCCCAGCGACCCCCACTGGAACGAGAGTGAGCCTGTGTGCAGAGGTACAGCCTTTAGTTTCCACATTAAAAAACTGCTCTTTATTTGCATTTTTCATAAGGCCTGTGAAGTTAACAGGGACTCCCACCTCTTTCACTCCTCCCTCATTCCATTTTCAGCTCTATGTGGAGGAGAGTTGACCGACGCGGCTGGGACAGTGCTGTCTCCTGATTGGCCACAGAGCTACTCTAAGGGTCAGGACTGTGTGTGGCAGATCCACGTCACCGAAGACAAGCGCATTGAGCTGGACGTGCAGATGTGAGTGTGTATATACAATATGTGAGTCTGTGGCTTAAATACCAGCAGTGAAGGCAGGTTAATCACACTGGGGCTTGTGATGTGGGAGGCATCCATAGTGACCGAGCCCCCTGACATCTTTATTGCATCCCTTATATCGATACTAACATAACTGTACACATATAACTCATGACCACTCATGATAACTTATTAATACATTAATACATCAGCGATTAGCCTACATTAGTGTGCCAACATCCAGACATAGCAGTAGTGAATAAACAAACAACCTACATTGTCATTCTTTATAGAACAATTATTATTTCATATTTTCATGGTAGTTTTCATATAAGGGAGAGGATCAGAATTATAGTGAGTATATTGCAGAAATGTCACCCGCTGTACACAGTGCATAAACCACACAAAAACCACACGAAACCACAAGTGCTATTTTTTTTGTCTTTTATTTTTTCACCAAATTACTTCCCTTTTGACCTATGTTTGTTATGTACCTATTTCATATTTTTCATTTCCCTCAGTTCCTCCTAAATTGCTATTACTCTTCCGTAAACTGCTTTGAGTCCAGTTATTTAGATTATTTTGTCATTTATTTAAATATTTACCAATTTATTTCAAGCTGAAAATGCATGCATATTACAATTTTAATATATTAACATATGTAAAATATATTACTTGTTCATACGTGAGCATACTTTTTCTATTTGCAATGACAAACCAGGTTTGAGTAAAACCTGGTTTTATTAAATATTTGTCACTCGCACTAAAAATCTACAATAAATAAATAAAACTCATTTATCCACTAAAACATCTGCACAGACCTTAAGAAATGCCTGGAAAAACTGATGTGTTCATAGTTTTTGTTTGTTTGTTTGTTTTATTTGATTCATTTTTGCTTATTCTCACAAATATTAGCATGTATGATATTATTAAGATTAATCTTTACTGAACCTTTCTGTGTCCTTTTTTCTTCCAAAGCCTCAACATCCGTCATAATGACATCCTGACCATATTTGATGGGCATGATCTCATGTCGCATGTGATTGGCCAATATGTGGGGTCACGGGAGAGGTTCCGGGTTGTTTCCGGTGGCTCAGAGGTCACTATACAGTTTCAGAGTGATCCTGACGATTCCAGCTTCGCCCTCAGCCAAGGCTTTCTGATTCACTATCGAGGTAAAACTTGTTAAAAAGAGACACTACTTTTTCCACTCTGATACAGATATACACAATACACTACACAATAGTGAAACCTTAAGTACCTGATATTTTTCCTTCAAACCTGCTAGGACTTAAAATGAGTTTTTAGAAACATATAATACATAAAGCTCATAAAGCACTGTGCTCACAAACTTTTCCCCACAGTAAAATACAAAGCTAACTTATACAACTTATGCCAAATTTTTTACCTAGTTAAACTCATTTTTTACCTAGTTAAACAAAAAATCACTTACATTGTGAAAGTGTGCAAAATGAAATTAATCAAAGTAAAGAAGTTTAAATGGTAGTATAACACTTAACTAGCTACTTTCTAATGTTAACGTTGTGTTATCACCTGACCTACTTTACTCACATATGTTATGATATTTCAGGCTCAATTTGTTACAGAATTAGATCAGATCTGTTCTTTTTTCCTCAATATCTGATTCATTATTTTCTACTTGTATCAGGTTATTAGATCAGTGCCATCTGTTCTATTATTATACTTATGCGATATTTTTGCACATTTTCCTTTCATTTTGCTTGATTATGACATAATTCCACTTATCTTCTCCAGAGGTGGAGCCTAATGACACATGTCCAACCCTCCCACCAATTGAATTTGGCTGGAGTAGCTCCTCTCACCCGTCTCTTGTGAGGGGCAGTGTGCTGACCTATCAGTGTCAACCGGGCTATGACATTGTGGGCTCTGACATCATCACTTGCCAATGGGATCTTTCCTGGAGCAACGGGCCGCCTACCTGCGTGAAAAGTGAGCAGAATTACTGAGAACTTTTTTTCAGTTTTGTGTTGTTGATTAATGAGTGTTAAGGGTTGGTGTTGAGGGTGTATCCTGCCTTTCGCTCAATGACAGCTGGGATAGGCTCCAGCTCCCTACCGCGACCCAAAAGGATAAGCTGTTTAGATGATATGTGTGTGTGTGTGTGTGTGATTAATGATGTGCAGCTTAAATACTGATATAGAAAGAAATCTTTGGATTCAATTGTCAACAAACTGGCTTCCAAAAAAAAATAAATAATAATAATAATAATAAAAATATTTTAAATGTATATATTGTCTTACTCATACTCACAATGCTTTACTACAGAGTAGACATTATCAACAGTGGCAAATTATAGCTATCAAAATGTATTAAAAATTAATGCTAAATTCTGCTAGCCTCCTAAGGTGTTTCTAATAGCATGCACTAAACATCCTTACATTAACTTTTTTTAGCCATAGATCAAACACAAACTTTTGATACTTGTAAAAAAGACATTCTACATATTTTATTAGAGGTTTATAACAGACATTAACATATAATTTAGCATGTATGTTGCAGTTTTACTCTCTTTTAGTACAGAGCCCTAGCATAGAGTGACCAAAATAGATTGCATGAATGTATTTCTCAATTCCTGGTAATCATTAGGTCTTTTATGAAAGCCTAGGAGGCCCTGAGGGGTCCCCTCTGAGTATCAACATTACACAAACGTCACAAGTGTCCTGGCTGTCTCTATTTTCAATCTCCTTCTGGGGGCAAATAGGAAAAAATTAAAACAGAGACACAAAATCTGTTGTAACATTAGTAATTTGCTACGCAGGCCCCCTAATGGTGCACACACTGGCGTCTACACTTTGAGAGAATTTTTTTTTATAACCTAACTTACATCCTATTAAATAACTTAACTCTCATTCCTAGGAGTGAGAAAGAGAGTTAAAGTATCGAGGAGAAAAGCAAAGATTTAAAACTTCGAAAGAGCAGGATTAAAGAGTCTTTCACCCTATAGGGGACATAATCCTATTTGCCCCCAGAAGGAGATAGCTTGAAAATAGAGACAGCCAGGGAGACCTGTGACGGTGGACAGATAAACAGGTAGACAAAATACTGCAGGTAAGAACTGAAGTCGTAGTCACCTTTTAGCTTTTAACAAGTCAGTTTTGCAAGCTGAGATGAACTTCTGAGATTGTGGCTATACAGTTTGACTTTGTTTTTTCCTTCCTGGTTTTGACCCTCCTGCAGTCCAGCAGTGTCCTGACCCAGGGGAGGTGGTGAACGGGGCACGCTCAGTCCACCCAGAGTTGGGCTTTGCTGTAGGGACGGTGGTGCGCTTCACCTGTAACCAAGGCTACCAGCTGGAGGGTCCAAGCCAAATCTCATGCCATGGCAGAGACACCGGGATGCCCAAGTGGAGTGACCGCAGCCCTAAATGTGTCTGTGAGTGGATGCTGTCAAAAATACTGATTACATATAGGTAGTTACAAATACATAATACATACAGGCCATATTAATATAACATGTAGGTACTTAAATATACAATACTGTGCAGAAGTCAGAGACCACCATTTAGTTCATTTACAGTCAAAAGAACTAAAAAATAAGTTTTCAGGACTTATTTCTGAGGAGATGTAAGATAATCCACTTACACAAGGAAAGGGAAAGTCACATGAAAATAAATGAAAAAACAGGAGTTTCAAGCACCAAACAACCATGCAAGACCTGGAAGACCATCAAAACAGTCAGATAAACAATAACTAAAGCTTTTGCTTTGATAGAGAGGAGAAAATCAAGCTCTACTCTTCCTACAGATCTAGAAAAAATCCACAAGTGTTTCTGTCCATCCTCCCTTGGTTAGAGGACAACTTAACACTATGAGTCCAAAAGGATGTGTAGCTGTGAAGAAGCTGTTACTGAGAAAAGGAAACAGACAAAAAAAGAAGAAAATTTGCTAATTAAAAAAAGAAGCTGGTGTCATCAGAACAATGGAGTGACCATCCCAGAGTCCAGACTTCAGCATCAATTAATATGTTTAGGATTATGTGTATAGCGAGAAGTAGAAAATGCAACCAACTTCTAAGACTGAACTTATATGGAGAAACCTACATAGAGTAAAATATTCCTGCCGATTTCTAAAACTGGTAGAAAGTCTCCCGAGAAGATTAGAAACTGTAATCAAGAGTGGACACAAGAAATACTGAAAAAATATATTTAGTTGTTGAGGCTCTGTAAGTTTCTGTTAGATGTGTCTTTCCTCTGTTTTTCTCCTTCTTTTCTTTCCTTTTTTTCATCTCCCCTTGACATTATCTCTCTTCCTCTCTCTCATATACAGTGAAGTATGATCCATGCCCTAATCCTGGTGTGCCAGACAACGGTTACCAGACTCTGTATAAACACAGTTACCAAGCAGGGGAGACTCTGCGCTTTTTCTGTTATGAAGGCTATGAGCTGATTGGAGAGGTCGTCATTAACTGTGTCCCAGGACACCCATCTCAGTGGAACAGCCCACCACCTTTCTGCAAAGGTATGAGCCTAGGTTTAAAAATAGGTTTATTTTGACTAAAGCACTATTGCATGTTCTGTTTTTATATTGTCTGCAGTGGAGTGGCCCACACACATAAATAGAAGTTGCATTCTGTTGAAATACACTGTTATATGCTCATTTTACATTCTCTACAGTGGCCTATGAGGAGCTACTGGAAGACCACAAACTAGAAGGTAACATCAGCACAAGTACCACCATATTCACTACTCATAATAATACATCATGATTGTAACAAAACCCAGTCAAATCTGTTTCTATCAGTCCATTCATTAATAATGTTGAAAGAGCAGCTGTCGTTTTCAATTGATTTAAAAAATAAAATAAAAGTGAAAAACAGAAAAATAGATTTATGATGTTTTAAATGACAGTGACAGTGTATTGCTCAGCTGATGTTAATGTGTTCATGGGTGTTATTGTTTTTTCCTCTTCAGTCTCCCAGTCATTAGAGGCCTCCCATCAGATGTTGAGTGAGAACATTGCATTGGCCATCATCTTGCCAATTATTCTGGTCATCCTTTTGATTGGGGGAATCTACATGTACTACACTAAGTAAGTAGGGAGCAGGGTTCTACATTACCTATTGTCTGGCACTCCTGACCTCAACATTTCACATTTTAGCTGCTAAAATATAGAGCATGTGGCCCAAGTGTCCTCTTTCCTTGAGATTTATTTTGTTTGTTTTTTTTAACAGCAAGCAGCGAAACCATTAATCACAAAACCACTACTATACACCTTCTCACATGAGATCTTGTGAGGTTTGGTCAGGCACAAAATTAAACGCATCAGATCAAATTATGGTGTAATTTGGCAACTTTATCAATAGCCAGCTGTAACCAACCATAAACAACATGATGGCAACGTTCTCATTAATGTAAAGTTTTTTATGAATATTTCCATTTTTTCAAAACATTAAAGTGTCTATAGTCGAATCCAACAATTTTGGCACCCCAGTCAAATTCTTTTATTGATTTTTTTAAGTGAAAGTAAGTTAACACTTCCTTTACAGAAAACACACTTCAATATGACTTTTTGCAAGCTTTAGTACGAAAACATAAAATGTGGTCTGCACAAAAGTTTAATTTTATATTTAATTTTTTCCCAATATGTTAAACTCAGCAAGTAAACAACAAATGTGCATTAAAATGCTAAGAAGTGTGTTCTCTTTAGATGATGTGTTAACTTACTTTAACTTACAATATCAACAAAACATGTGGTTCGACCAGGGTTCTAAAACTTTTGCATACAAACACCAAACTTTGGCCACAATTTGAAAGGGCTTGGTGCAGTTTTTTATCTCTCTACTCCTGCTTGGAACAAAGCTGTTTTTGAAGTTTTAAACAGATAGAGATCTGTGATTCTCAGCATAACTTATTTTGTCTCATCTTTTGCTCTCTCTCTCTCTCTCTCTCTCTCAGCGTGTGTAGGTTGCAGTGGAAGCCATTGTTTTGGAAGTCTCTCTCACACACACACTCCTACAGTCCTATCACAGTGGAGTCTGATTTTAACAACCCTCTGTATGAAGCAGGGGTAAGACACTGTTTATATATATGTAGTTAATATAGCCTAATATAACAATCATCTGTTCATTCAAAACACGGTGTATTGTACTGTTGTGTAATTGCAGCATAAAATACTCTCACCATCCACTACAAACACCTACCTTGCACTTCCACTCGCCAGCCACTTCATGGCAATATAGATCCCCTAAATAGGTGCCTGGTTGCAGACTGTAGCCCATCTGTTGTCATGCACAATTTGTCAGCATCCCTCTACTCCATTCGTCATTGGTTAGTTTATGACCACAGGACTGTTGTTGATTATATATTATTTATATGGTATGTTAACGGCTGTGGCTCTGACACAGTGGAGTTCCCTAGTTTTTGCAGACATCAGTGTCACTGCAGGGCTCACAGCAGCGGTCCACAATCCAAAAATATCTAGAGAAGAGCAGCTCTGTGAACAGAAACTAATCACCAATGAAGGACTAAAAAATATACCCAACTAATAACTATAAGCTAGCATGGTGGATTTACAGTGTAGCTCTAAAAATATGGAGATTGTATATTGAATTTTGCATACAGGATATTTCAGAAAACATGGAAAACTATATTGCGATGAAGATAAAACTTTTAACTACATGAAAATTACAACAAAGCTTATGGAAAAGAATGAGAAATACTGCTGCTAGTCAGCTAATGTCATATGACAGCAGAAATGCTCTTAAACTGCTTTATAGTCCAAAGAGCAAATACTTTTGCTAACCTAATGAAATGTAAACCTTGAGTGAGCAAGACCTTCTCTGATAAACCTCACTGGAATTTATGATCACAGCTCTTCTACTTCATTGAGACATCAGAACAATGAACTTTGTTATTTGCACTCACTAACCAGTAAAGCCCTAAAGATATGTTGTTCACCATTAGCATCCAGGAGAGTCCTGAGTCTAAGCTGTTTGGAGCAAATCAGTGACGTTTTCATAAATCATCTACAATACATAACGTCATGTGTACGCTTTTTTCGCAAAGATCACAGTGTCATTTAATCTATTTTATAGGATTGGCAACCTTATAAGAACATCCCACCCAGACCAGCAAGCTGTGTCAGTAGTAGGCTACAATTTGAGTAGCTGGGATGTTTATATAAACATGCTGAAAAAGTGTATAGTAGTAGCATTAATTTCATGTCAAATAACTTGTTTTGTTCACTGTATAAGTTAAAATAATAATAACACATCCTCCACACGTAACAAACCTAAATAAGTAATTTTCACAGTTTTTATTTGCTTTTCTGTTTTTAACATACTGGAAAAAAAAAATATATAAAAAAATATAAATGTGCCATAATGTCTGCACACTTTTTATGTTTCTTTTTTTTCCCCCCATATGCTATTTTCAGCAAATAAACAGAAATTGTGCTTTCTGTGTGTGTACTTCAACAAAACGTAATTTGGCCTGGAGTGCTCAAACTTTTGCATACGACTGTATATAGCAATGTTAACATTTCAACTATTTAACAACCTCATAATTCAGAGGAGCCTGTGACCTATGGGACAAAACATTTATGACAGGATGAGATAGGGGCGATTCCCCCCAGATAAAAATAGCTCAGAACCGGCGTCCTTATTTGGACATATGGGCTACAATGACGCATTATTAAATGACGCACAACCTCAGAGGTCGGGTGCTGATCTAAGGTCAGTTTTTGCCTTCCTGGGAAATCTGAACCATTGGCTTTCTATCATAGATGATTGTATTGTCTCATCATGGTGTTTTTTTTTCACTACAGGACACAAGGGAGTATGAAGTGTCCATCTGAAGCTGTGGTCATGTGATGAGTTCAAAATCGAGGATGGAAAGAAAGAAGAAAAATGAAGGGATGGTATTAATTCTCTCTCCACAAGACACTTTCATTCCTCTAACACGTACAGCTTTTGGTTTCTTTTTCACTCTATTTTCAGTCTCTTTCTTGCTCTTTGCTGACGCAATTAACAGTGTGTGTGTGAGTGTATGTGTGTGTTTGTGTGTGTGTGTGTGTGTGTGTGTTTGTGAAGAGAAAAGAGAGAATTGGAGAGCAAGTGTCATCCATGAGCTTATGGTTTCTCACCACAGATATGCTTTCTAACATTTGGTTTGGTGCCTTAGGGACTTAAAAGAAGACTAACGGAGAGACATGGAGAGACAAAATGGAAAAGGAAAACGATTTGAGAGCGAGAGAGTAAATTAGAGAGAAGGACGGAAAAGAGAGAGAGAAATAGAGAGAGGAGAGAAAGAGAGAGAATGTCAATTTTTGACCATGTAGGGATGGGATTTTACAAAAGACAGGAGCACACACAGACACGTACACAAACACACATAAGAACATATGAACACACACACATACACACACACACACACACACACATACACAAATCTTCTACTTATCTTTGTCTGTACACACGCAATTACACACAGAATATATTGAATGTAAATATTTTGATTGAATATTAAGGCTTATGTATAAAAATCTGATCCAGTGCCAAAATATAACATCCCATAATGTGACGTCACTTCATGTTTCACGGGTTTCATGGTCTTTCTTACATTGACGATGTAATAAATACCGATAATGCCAGCGTTTCATAATGTTCCTTGCTGTTTCTTAAGAATCTCTTTCTGCTTAATGTTGAATGACTATGGATTTAAAAAAGGGGTGGAATGTCTTCACGCTTAGGGCACGCAATGATTGTATATTTTACCGCTTCAGCTTAGGATTCATGAACAATTATACTTACTGTCATTGTTTATCAGAGTTGATGTTGTTGCATATGCACTATGTTGACAAAAAATATATATATATGTACTGTGAAGAAAAAAAATAATTCAGCTGCTTGCTGTGATGCAGTATCAAGACTGAGATGCTTTTTATAATGTTATTTTTCAATTGAATCATGGTTCGTTGTTAATATTATGCAGTGAGTTTTGTCTCTTCGACTGTGCCATATCCGGAGTCTAGCCGTGGAGGACTCTGTTGCATTAAAGTATTACTCAATTGTTCATATTGTTTATTAATCAGCATAATATACTGTCATGAAGGCATTATTTATTTGCTAAGATTTAAGAATAAATAAAAGTCTCTGTTGGATGGTGAAGTCTGGCTTTATTTCTTATGTGATCATGTGCAAACTGTTGTCTGTGTGATGCCCTGTAACATGGCCCTTTAGTTCCAGTACTGCAGAGCTGGTGTCCAGCACTGTTTGGTGATTTTCCTGCACGAACACAGCTACAGGGCTGGGCAGAATACCTTGAAAAAGTAGTGATGGCTGAATACTGATGGCACCGTCCTAAGTGTATTCAGTCATTATTAGCAATAGTAATTCTTCACTTGTACCTTGCTACATAACACTGACATAACCATGCCATAAACAAGTCACACGAGATGCTGTCACAAGTTGTCATGACAGTAAAATGGTAAATTGACACTGTTATATTACTGTATCATGATACTATACATGACATCTCCCTTGATAATGTCAAGGGACATTGTAGCAAGGTTCAAGTATATAGAATACACTTACAATAAATTTACAATGCATTTTAATGAGACACATGGAAAAACTGTTATTATTGTTTATTGCTGTTCTTGCATCTAAATGCATCCTTGCATTTACTTCCCAATATGTTCCAACACACACACACACACACACATATATATATATATATATATATATATATATATATATATATATATTTACATATATAGTTGTATCTACACTCATTGCTCATTGTCCATTTTATCAGCTCCACTTACCATATAGGAGCACCTTGTAGCTTTATAGTTCTACAGTTACAGACTGTAGTCCACTTGTTTCTCTGCATACTTTGTTAGCTCCATTTCACCCAGTTCTTCAATGGTCAGGACCCCCACAGGACCATCACAGAGCAGGTATTATTTAGGTGGTGGATTGTTCTCAGCACTGCAGTGACACTGATGTAGTGGTGGTGTGTTAGTGTGTGTTGCACAAGTGGATCAGACACAGCAGTGCTGCTAGAGTTTTTAGACACTGTGTCCACTCACTGTCTACTCTATTAGACACTCATACCTTGTTGTTCCACCATGTAGATGTAAAGTCAGGGACAATAGCTCATCTGTTGCTGCACAGTTTGTGTTGGTCATGTATGTATGAGGCACATCTGCACATACAAGTCCAGGACAACACCAATGCTAAGCTTATCATTCATAAACATGTCTACTACTGAAGAGACTGTTCAGTTCAAACATCTGTCAAAAGAGCTTAATGCTAAGACAAATAACTTTCTCGTCAAATTGCAGGAACTTCTGTATTTGTAGAGAAGCTGTTTGCTGTTGAGAGAAGCTCCTGTTTAGAGTCCATTTAATGAGTATGTTTTCTACAGACATTGCACAAATTTTAAACGTTAATAAACAAACTTTACTGGAGATTTAAAAAGTGTTTTCTGAAATCTGTCAGATACTTAATTTCTGTATTGTGAATAAATATTTTATATATCCCAACCCTGCACACATGTTAAACCTGACAAATAACAGATTAGTTGAAACCAAATGTGCTTAAACAGGGAAATGAACACTGGCCCTCCCCACCCTGCTCTATAACGATGACAATCTAAAAAAAAACATAATATTTAGAGCACGTTATGAGTTGAGAAAAATAACTGGGTATTTACAACGTCCATTTTATCATATTTATAGAACATTTTAAAATATTGCAAGCATCCTAATACTCAATTTCTTATTTGAATTCATATATAAACAAATACACGTTCTTAAACATGAAATGAAGGACGTTAGAGCTCTAAGGCTGCAGACAGTTCAGAGGAGATTATTTCTTGTAGGACTGTGATCAGACATATTAATAAAAATAATCACAGTTATTTTTAAGCCACAGCAAAATGTGCACCCATAGACGAGCACAAAGAGGCTTTCATAGAGCACTTCTTACGCTCCGTAAAGGAATATGATCACGGCAGTACGACACAGATTGTGCAGCCCGTCGGATTAGGCTGCGTTACTCATTACGAGTTTAATCACATCATCGCCGATTCGCCATGCAGTACATTTATAAACCCAGCGTTATGACGAGCGTTTCAGAACAGCAAAAACAAAACACTGACCTATTTAAATAATCTGCGATGATTGGATGAGTTCAGGCACAACGAGCCTGCAGGTCCAATCACTTCGCACATGACGGAGGGAGAGGCGGTGCTATAACGTGTGACTGACGTACGTTTGGACCAATCAACTGGCCGTTTTGCTCCAGAAGGGGGAAACATTCGAGAGGAAGAAAGTGGTGGGTGAAGTCTGGAGATAAAACGGAAAATGATTTGATGATAAAGTTATATGGAATTAAGCCTCGAATACTCTTAATGTAAACTATCGTGTGCTGTTTACGTTACATTTGGGCTTCAGGACAACCACTCCTCTGTTCGGCCTGGTGAGTAACCGTTTAGTTCTTCCATAGTTACTCCGTAATAAATATCATATTCACGTATTGAACGCTAGCTAGCTAACGTTAAACGGTGCTGTTAGCCAGCTTGCTAATTAGCGCATCACTGCCTTTGTCACCAGAAGTATAGCTGCTCTCACATTAACCAGAGGTGTGAACACTTTGAAACGTCTTGACAAATCAGTGATGCTGTTTTTTTAGTCAAGCCGTCAAGAAACTAACGTTAGCTCACTCTTCCTTGTGCGGATTAGCTGGCTGGCTAAGTAAGATCTGTCACGTCTAGCCGTCCGTACTGACCTAATTCCTCTCAGATAGCCAGCGGTGCTGCTCTAATTTTCAATTACAGTGTAGCTAACGCTTGAAAAATGACACAGGACATCTAGCTAAGTTACGGCCGTGCCTGCATCAGGCTTCGCTTTATTATACTGGAGTTATCTGCGCCCAGAGGCGTGTTATATGTACCTGTATATGTACTCGGCTTACTAAAAATAGCAGCAGCACACGGCACGCAAAGTACATTTTTATCACTCCCACTGTCGACTTTGAAGTTATAACCTCTTGAAGATCTTGAAGATGATTAACTTGTTTTATTGCTTTCTGCTCGCCTCAGAAAGCTGCCATTGGCTGGGTCCATGCTTAAAACTAACTAGTGGACAAACAGCACAGATTTCCGTAGTACTTCCTTCTTTGTTACATTACACCATTCTCGCTGTGCCTGATGTATATGTATACTTCATTTCTAGACAGTACATTAGAGGTTTTCGACTGCGTTTCCCTGATGTCTGCCGAAGCCTCCAGTGGAAGAGTGGTGTCAGAGCCCAGCCTGGCACCTCCATCCCCCAACCCCAGCCCTAGCCCCAGCCACGGTCCTGAGCAGAAGATCGGAGGAGGTCTGGCTGGCAGCAAGTATGTCAAATTGAATGTGGGTGGTTCCCTCCACTACACCACAGTCCAGACCCTCAGCAAGGAGGACAACCTACTCAGGAGTGTGTGTGATGGAAGCACGGAAGTCACCATAGACTCAGAAGGTGAGTGAGTATGCTAGCGTGTTCAAGAGGACGGTTAAGAACATACAATTAATTCAAAAACTGAATAAAAATACTTACTTGAGAATACTTTAGAGTGTTTAGTGTTCTGTAAAAGACAGAATTAAGCATAAATGTGTCATAATACTAATCCAAGTTGATAATAGTGTGATCCAGTCACATTTAACCAATTTAGTCAAGTGTTTCCTCTGTGGACATAATCAAGCAAGGTTATACATTACTTGAATTGCCCATACCCATGCCTACAATCAGATTCTTTTTTTTTTTTTGATGCATTTCAACTTTATTTGACATGTTTTAAGAAGTAGTACAATGCTGTGCAACTAAGGATGTAAGTGATTAACCGATTAACCCTTAACTGACAAGTAAACAATTATTTGATTCATGCTATCAGTTAAAAACTTTGGGCCTCGTTCACCAACCATTCTTAAGAAGAAATGTCTTCTTAAAACCCGCTTATGCAGGTTTCACGAAGATTCTGACATGCACCAATGTTTTCTCATTTAGGATTTGTTCTTAGATAAGAACAGGGAGCACCTGCAAGGTCAGGACCTTTCTCAAGAACAAATTTAAGAAAAATTGAGGAAGATATTGATGAAGGAGGCCCATTATTAGTAATTGCACATTGCAAAGTGATGTGCAACACTTTTGTTATCCAAGGGTTTCTTCTTCTTCTTCTTCTTCTTCTTCTTCTTCTTCTTCTTCTTCTTCTTCCTCTTCTTTCTGTTGGGATTTTTGTCTGCTGACTTACCTCACAGTTTTCAAGATATCAACACCAACTCTGGAAAGTTTGGTCTGAATGTAAATGGTGTGCTTGTTTACTACTTGTTGATTGTGCACATGATTTTCGTACAGTCATCTTTATATAATTTTTTTTCTGCATAGGAATGGATGGGGTGCAAAAGTTTGTGCACCCAACTAATGTCATGTTACTACAAGTCCATTGGTAAAATCTTATTAACCATGTGGGGAACCATAACAACCACCTTGCAACACCCTAGCAACCACTTGGGAAACCATAGCAACTACTTATTAACACCTTTGCAACCACCCAAATATCATAGTAACCATTTGGCAGCACTGCCTAGCAACTGCTTAAGCTATGCAATCACTCTGCATTTTTTATGAAGTCCCCTTTTTTTTAGTTTTATTTCATTTCCAGTAAACAACAGTTCAACAAAATACTGGTGTGTGGGACTTTTTTGTGAGGACAGAAGCCCAAATATAATGATGTACTACCTTTGAATGTTGGCTTGGCTAAGAACCAGAACTACTCGTTTTCTAATTGATATTTCGATGGACTGCATCTTTGATTTTATGCTTGTCGGTTAACAGTTAACAATGGCCGGATAGGCATCAAAAGAATTTGACAAAAGTTTGAATCGCTGTCCGCAACCAAGGAAAAAATTCTTAAAGCTCTTAATTAGTGTGTCCTTTTGTCTGGTCCTACTTTTGTTAATTCTGAACTTAAGCTGTTGGGCAAATATAAATGTGCACCAATGAGACGGACTAAGCAGAGGCAAGGTCAGAGCTCACAGAGCATCGTCTGTGTCCACAGGCTGGGTGGTGCTGGACAGGTGTGGGCGTCATTTCCCCCTGGTACTGAACTTCCTGCG